TGAACATGAACATTATGTTCGTTCAAAGCATCAGATGACTTTCAGTGGACAAGGCATTACAACCAAGAAGACAAGAGCTCTTAAATTATGAACGTGCTTAAAAATATTACGTGACAAGTCTGGCTAAACACCTGATGAAGCCAATCAACTCAACTGATGCTGCTGAACATTCAGCATTTAAGAAAACGTTTAAAAAGTACCTGTCCAAGACAAACTGTGGACTGCAATTTGATTAACATGGAAAATTAAAAGTTATGAGAAACACAGTATAAAAATATTATATCACAAGTTATCTGATTACAAAACCATACACAAAACGAGAAGCAAACATATTTGGGTCACACAAAGCATTACTAATTTCCTCTTTCTTTGAAGACCCAAATTAAATTTCATCTCATTATACAGTATCCAAATGTTTCAGGTAATAACTGTAAAACTTCCCACTGTGTAGCCTTGATGTTCATTTACTACAAACACAAACCCATTCTTGATAAAGCTAACCAGTTGTAGAGATATTGCTCTCTCCAGTCTTGTCATATTTTGTTTCATACACATCACAGTGAAATGTCATGTACAGTACTCCCTTGCATTAGATTTTTGTGTTTATGGAAATCATTACCATGTCATGATATGGACCATGAATACTCCCTCACAGACATAAAACAAAACAAACTCCGTGGCTCAAGTCCGCAAGCAAACTATAACAGAACAACCACTGCTTGTCGGCGACATTAGTGCCAACTTTAGCAAATAGTGTGTGTTGCGTGGTCAGCGCAGCGAATCCCCATGGCCTTTAATCTTGGTTTTCTAGACCGGAGCAATTTCCTTGCAATAGCTCCTCAATTATCCTCACGAGGCTGAGTGGACCCCATTCCAGACACACTACTTCATCTGGTAGTGTCAGGAATCGACCCAGAACCTCTGGATCTGTAGCCAGGAACTCTGACCAGTAGGCCACAGAGGTGGTCCCCTTTACAGACATATGATACAAAAAAAGAAAATGAACCAGAACATGTGGGATTTGTGGTGGAAATAGTGGCACTGGGACAAATTTTCTCCAAGTACTTTGGTTTCCCCTTCCAATCTTCATTCAACTAATTGCTCCACAGTCACCATCATCTATCATCTGGGGCTCGTACAATAGGCAAGTAGTGGCTGCAGTACAAAGTGGACTCAGCCTCACCCCACTAGTAGTAGTAGTAGTAGTAGTAGTAATTTATTTTTTTCATTATTATTATTTCTCTTTAAGAAAATATTACTTATTACAAAATTCAGTCCACACATGCACGTATGTCAGTGATACAAGATGCTGGCTTCTACCTTAATTTAAACTGTGCATTACCCTCACCCTTATTAAGAGGTGAGGTTTAAACTTTGAAAATTTTCTTTAAGTTTAATCAAGTTAACTACTAGTTCTGATCATTAAAAGAATTTGTTTTACTACAGCTGTGGGCAGAAATAATTTACACTAAGAACACAATTCCTTATGTGGCCAGGACAGCTCAGTCAGTACAGCAACGGGCTATGGGCTGGACAGTGCGGGGTTTCATTCACAGCAGGGACAAGATTTTTCTGTTCTCCATACTATGCAGACCAGCTGAGGCCCACCCAGCTTCCTATCCAATGAGTAAAGGAGTACTGGCAGGCACAGCAGCCAACAGGCATGAAACCAACCATTCACTTCCATCCAGTTCCAAGGTCAAGAATGGTGGAGTTATACCTCCACTCCCCCATATGTCTTCATGGCCACACTCTTTCTTCTGTATAAGCAGCCATTTCAAGAAATGTATGACATTTCAGTATGAGTTTCATACAAAGCAGGATTATAATGGACTCACAATCAAAATTAAATTGATCAGACAAATTTTAGTGTGTATCTCCCATAGCAATTTCAAGACAAACATGTTAACAGACCCTGTATCTCAATTATGCATTTGCCTCATAAACAGTGGCAAAGGACATTAAAAGGGACACAGCCAAAAATTACTGTTATCTCAAAGAACAGTACGCATCCTTTATAAAAACAATATTCTGACTGGAACAGCACCAGCTCCTGTAATCAATGGCAGAAGTTTCAAGAAATGTTTGAGAAAATCATTCATGCATAACATAAAATATTAACACCAAACAGGAAATTACAGAAATTTAACTTCTTTTCTTTAACGAAAGTAACCAATTATGACCAGACAGAAGGTCTTATCAAGTGTGTTCACTGCTTGAACTGTGGCTTACACATTTTGTGAAGTTTGAAAAGTGGCATATGTTATATAATCATACCCTACAAGTATGGTGGACTTCCTGTTCATGGTGTGACACCTGCAATGTTTTCCACTTACAAGGGAATCTCAGTGTCAGCAATGAACTGAACAGATTCAAGCAGTTTAATCCTTATAATCCCTTACTGTAAGAAAGTAAGAAACAAAGATATTGAATGTTTTCTAGAATCAAAAGGAATGATAATTTTCTTGGGCAAAATACAATAAGGAACATAGAGATCAATACTACCAACATTCAAAAAGATTAACTTTCACATTAGAAACATGTCAACCTTTAAGATACAGTATTTACACCCCCACAACAGAAAAACATTACCTCATGGCGGTTACAAACATAAGCAAGCTTTGCTATGAGTCTGCCTTCAGAAGAAAAGTCAAGAAACATCCTGCCTTTGTGCCTCTGACATAGAACATGGCTGTGTACACGTCCTGTATTCCACTACCAAACAGGTTCTTTTTGTTTTGGGATATCTTACATTCTTATTTTGAAACATATAAACATTTTCTATCTGCACTGATTAACTCCCCTCCAAGCTGTAAAAACCATGAATGCTCAATATCAGCTTTTTTCTTCCTTAATCTTAATTCTTTCATACATTATGTATTTCATGTAGTGCTTGAGCATAATATGTCAGGTTTTCTTTAATGACTGGCAAATAAATCAAAATGTCATACATGCTTCTAACAGAAGTTGTAACTGTCTGGTTGTAATCACTTTCACAAACCATATAATTGAGGAATGCTGAATTTATCATTCTTCCAATTAACAAATAACAATGTATATTTCATTTCTATCATGAGAGTCCGTCAATCACTGGTACAAAGATGCTACAATACAATTTAAATGTACAATGAATAGAAGACAAACATTATGACATATGCACTTAACTCTTTAAGGACAGCATGAAATATGCAATCTTTGACTTTCATACCATCTGCTAAAATATTATGTATTGTTTTTGGATTTCACATCATTTTGTGCTTTGCCCCAATTAGATGGGACTACACAGTATCACAAAACATCAACATCGCTGATGGGATCTGAGTAAAGAAGGCAAGAGAAAGAAAGTGTTTCGGCTATGGAAACATGACTACCATTATCATACAAAGAACTGAACAGTTCCATTCAGCACAACCTGAGGATAGGTGGTATTCGATCACACACTTTTTGTACTAATCACATCAAAATCTTATCTTACAGAAAAAAATACCTGGCTGGGTGATCTAACATAAAAACATATCGCCAAGGTAAGGAAGAAGTCCTACCACTCGTGTAAATAAAGGCCCAAATAAAGTGCAAAATATATCAAAATCCTAACTGAAGCTTCATTCTGCTAATGAACTTCCTTGCTATATACAAAACAGTGAACTTAATTTTCTTTATAGAAATGTTTCTCCTGGACTTGCCCAGATTTCCTTATTTATCTTTAGAACATGTATTTCAGCTGTTTTATTTATGTATAAAAGAAGGGAATATAACAATTCCAGGCAGTTATCACAATAAGCACTCATAGACAGATCAATGACTGTACGGTTTGCCTTTAACCTCTGGAGAATAAGGTGTTAGTATTACCAATGTCAGTATTTCTGCCTTCAGGGGCACAAACTGCCAATTCTGGCCCTCTCAAAATGAAATGGGAAATTATAAGCACTGTTCTAGTTCTTCAAACGATGGTCATTAAAAGTAAAACGCTGCCAATTTTCAAAACAGATTCCTCTGACATTTATTCAGTTTTAATCAGGATGTTGATGTCAGAACTTATAAGAAAGCACTATAATATGGACATTAATTTACATGCCTTTCCAGGTCCTCATACTAGCAATTAACCTGGTTATGTGGTTATCCAAAATTCTATTTTAATGCAAGAAATATTCAAGCAAACACTGAATTATGTCTCATCAAACATGTTTCATGTACAAGAAATCACCTTGGAGATGCTTGTGCAGAATACATTTCTTTGCCAATAAAAAGACAACATTTCATTCCTTCCTTAGTGTGTGCGCATGAGTAGCCTTTTATGTTATAATAAGACCTACTACCTGTTAAATAGGGGGGCTTTCCCCTCACTAGAGGCTGAGTATCGAAAATCCCAACTTGCTGCTTACACAGGCAGGCACATTATGTATCATATAACATCACACTCATCACTCCGAAGTCCCCACTATCTAGATCACATAAAACAGCATTCACAAACAGCTGTTTCAGGAGTGACTGACCACAAAAGAAACTGCACACCAACATAACTCAAATTTGGTTGGCATAGAATAACAGAACTGATAAATGCCAATGAGCCTAGTTAAGATATACTGTACTAAATTTGGTTTCTAAGAATTCATAGCTTGCATATTTACATTACTGATGAGAGGGGTGACTACCAATGAATACATCTGTTGTACACCAAACTAATATCCTAGCTGAGAACACTAAATAAATAATTATGTTATATAAAACAACACAGACACGAACTGCATAGAAAACAAAAACAAAAAAAATCAGGGGGGATCCACACACAGCAGCATGATCTCATAACTCTTTTATTTTTTTTAATTTGGGGAAGACAGAGACATACACACACAAGGTTATCTCACAAGCCTCATTTCATTTTTTAAAAGTATGGGAAAGCTGGAAGGAAGAAGACCACTGGGAAGACCAACATGTAGGTGGGTGGACAACATTAAAATGGATCTTAGCGAGACAGGATGGGATGGTATGGATTAGATTCATCTGGCTTGGGATAGGGACCAGTGGATGGATCTTGTGAATGCGGTAATGAACCTTCAGGTTCCATAAAATGCTGTAATTCATATGGTACTTCTGCTTGTAAGTGATCAGTCAATACCTGTCCTTAGTTTCAAACAGATTTTTCAGTGATCACAAAAGCAACGTAAACATTTCTAGGCTGCTACAGCATTTCAGTGAAAAAAGTAATTTACCATGAAGCTACCTTCATATACAAAAATTGCATACATTTCAACTGAGGTGAAACACCTGAATTTCAGATACCAAGAATTCTGTTGAATTTCAGAATTCACCATCAATGAGTACTAAAACACATTCTAAACATGATTTGGAATGCAAGACAACTTCAACATTTAGTCTAAAGTTTGTTCAAATATTGTGAATATATTCTCAACCCTTACAAAACTGACATACATCAGGATAAAGCCAATGAGCTGAGTGAACAGTGCGCTACAACTGACATGTCATTATTCTCTACAAAGCAGATACATCTAACTTCCACACCATATCAGTATCCACAATGTACGAGTCAAAGAACTGTGACATGAGAGAAACTGTCTCAAATTAGAAGTCACATGTTGCACAGTGCCCCCCCCCCTACAAACCCCACTCTATCCAGGGATCTACTACCTCCTCCTTCAAGTAATGGTTTATACAGGAGCAAAAGCCAAGCAATTATAATTCATGCCTGTTTGATTTCTGTTCCTACATTCTTATCTCTGTTAAATTTCCATTACACTGACACTTGACGGAGGCAATAAATCCTCTGGACATTTATCTTTCTGACTTGGAAAAATGTGCAAATTTTGTTATGGCAATTTCCACGTACAAAACAACATAATTACATGGTGCCTGCACAAACTTTCTTTAGCTTTTGGCTTGATGGCATAACTAATGAACCAATGAGGCCAAGTGCATAACATCTGATATGGAGATAAATAATATACTTACATATTATGTGTGAAATATTATCTTTAACTCAACAAGTACAGACATGATGACAATGCAAAACTCTGATATCACATCTGACAAATTTAATGTATAAAGAATGTACACCAAAGTAATTAAGTTCACAAAAATAAAATAATAATGATAACGCCAACAGATCTGTAGGGCTAGAAATCTATGCAACAGGAAAGTTGGCAGAACTTCTTAAACATTCTGATCACATGACTTAAATATTTTGAATAATATACTCAGGTGTACAGCTAGCTAAGTGGTCAATCACTCTTTTTCCAACCGCACAAATTCTTCTCTTAACAATAAAAAAAGATAACTAAAAGACAGGGCCAACACTGAAATAAGACGGTGACAAAATTAACTTGTTATTACATAAGAGGTGAAAATATGAAAGATCATTCTCAGAGACAAACGGGCAACATTGAACAGAAAGTTACACACAATTCTTGTTCGCTTTTTCTTCGCTCTCATATCACTCAGTATTTTTGCTAGTATTCTTAAATATGGTTCCGTTATAATATTAACATATTGTGGTGGCGGTATGACAATCAATAACAGGTTGAGGCAACAAATGGAACACCACAGAGTGTAGCACTGTATGCAGTAGCAGCAACAGGTTCTGTTGAAATATTAATATATACAACACATACACAGAACAAAACCACCAGCTGTTTTCTCTCCTCCTTTTAAATTACAAATGCTTTGTTTACATATATATAATATATATATAAAAGAACGCAAGGTGGGTGAACATGATTCTTCAGTATCCGTTATGACATCATTAGTCCAAATAAAAGCCGTTAACAAGTCGTGAGCTGGTACCATCACAATCCTACATAACCCACCAACCAGGGAGAACTGCTATCATTGACTGAAATCACTGTTAATACTTACAGAAGTCTTGATTACCATCTGCTTAGTGCTCAGTGGAAGCAACAGGACTACCAACATTATGATGTACCTTCATTTCTCACATTCAATCGAACACAGATTTGCATCAGTTGAATCTAAGCGTAGGCAGGACTTCTATCGTCTGCTCTTGCCAGTAATGCTGGCATTCCACAACCAGAGTTTGTTAAAAAGCAAAACACATCCAACTTCATGTCCAACTATCTTCAAGAACAGGGATTTGTCCTTTCGTCTCAATACAGTTTTCCTCACAACAATCACGATCACTTCTTGTTATGTCTTGCGATGCTCTCCTTGGTTAAACTTCCCCTACGGGCGGAGCCTCCCCCCCCTGCAGCGACCCCCTGAGGGGGGCCCATAACCGCTCCGGGGGGGCTCAGCCCCGCCGCCGAGACTGGTGGAGCCATCTGACCCACGGTGGCGCTTCCAAAACAAACACACACACAAAGAAGCCACATTAGCGTGAAAACAAAATACCCAGGCATGACCATGGGAGGGTTGTGTGGAAGCAGTGCGCAGCTTTTTTAAATTCTCGAGGCAGGAACCACGGCTTCGGTACTCACTTGTTCTGCTTCCCCACAGCGGTGTCGGAAGCTTGCCTGGCGTTGGTCAGGTCTGGTGTTGAGATGTTGGGCCCCGTTCCACCGCCCCCTGTCGTACTCCGGTGCAGTCGCATGCTCACCCTCCTCTCCTGAGTCTCACCCCCTCGTCCTCTTGGAGACGCTGGGGGCAGGACACCAGGCGTGTCTTTACTCTCAAGTCAAATATTAAAAGACATATTATATCAAATTCAAGTAAAACAGCTAATACTGACCCAGCTGCTATGGTTCACTCCTAACTTCCCTGCAGTAAGTAAATAATAACCACCTGTCATTAACTTCCTTCTCATCATCTGGGCAACTGCCCAATTTGCAAAGTTACCCCTTGCTGCTCTCTCCTGTGTGCCTTCCATATCCTGCCTTCCTTTTTTCTTTTGACTGAATGCAACACCTGAATGTTGGTGGCAGTGAGGCAGCTTTTATGCTCGGTCGGGCTAATGCCGGGTTCGGCTCCATGAATTACCAGTGGTAGGGCTGGCTGTTGTGACTGGCGGAGTTGTTCCTGGTGGTGTGTTCACCATGTCAAATGCTGTCTGTGTGCGTCTGCTGGTTGCGCCTGCACCTGCTGTACCACCTGCAGTTCCCTGAGCTGTGCGCGATGTATATCGACGCTCCCGCTGTTCCTCTGGTCCCCCATGCCTTGATCCACCCTGATATCAAAGAAGGCATATGCAAGGTAACTTCTATACACTGAAGTCAAAGTGCAAAAAGATATTTGTACATTTAAGAGTACCTGTTAAAACTATTACAATTTGATATAACAAGGAAAACAGCAGCATTTTCTTCAAAATCTTTCAGAATATTTTTAAATTTAACACACAAACTCTTCCATAAAATTACTTAATGCAAATAACATGTGATATGATCTGTATTCCTGAAACTCTTAACATATGCCTCACAACTCTATTTTATGATAAATTACACAAAGACAATACACTTGGTCGTCAACTTACTACCTATGCGACTTATGACCTCAAAAAAAAAAAAAAAAGATTAAAATGTAAAAGTTTTTAAAAATAAATCATAAAGATGATAAAAAGATTAGAAAGGTTAAAAAAATACTGTTAATAAATATATGGCCGACATATGGCCAGATCGACTTATGAACTGTCAGTCAGAACAGAATTCGGTCATAAGTCAATGACCAACTATACTATTATTACTTTTCCACTATCAGTAGCATAATATGCATAGTGTGCCTCAAATTATTATGTAGTGACACTTCTGATTTAAATTATGCCACCAATGGTTGAAAAAAATACTTCATTTATTCGAGCTTAACAGTTTTTCACATCCTAATCTATGCTCTAGTTTCAGTACCCCAAGATGAAGAGTGGAAATTCTAAGACTTCCCCTACCTTTAAATCACCACCGTACATTTTCTTGCATTCTCAAGTGTATGCTAGGTATATCCTTACAGTACTTACCTACTCCAGTGGTACTGACAAAATATAGACTATGTAATTTCCAAGCAGTATGTACAGTCATCCACAATCAAATAACCTAGATTCTACTTTACCAAAGAAAGCACATGCAACTTCAAGAAACATACTTTCAGACTTGCAATCCAGAAAGTGGATCCTGTCACTCAGATCAACTACTTCACATTCAGTTCTCTTGACATTCCTTCAGCAAATATAATGAAATCACATCTCATAAATACTGAAATCAACCATACTACACTTTCAAATGTATTCAAATATTTTTCAAGATACATTCCTACTTCATTTATGTTAGTCTTCTCCATACATGCTACTATTATAGTCTGACTGCCTTGATGTGAACCATACCTGTGCCAAGCAAACAGCATACTGCAATTTGTGTCACTCCTCTGTATTCTAGTCTGATAATATTCATGATTTATTTAATCCGTTNCACAAGATAGTGAAGGAGTGCTCCAACAAAGGAGAATGGGCGTGACTGACGTAGTGAGGGGCGACGTAGTGATGTGGTATCCTGAACAATTTTAATATTTTTAACGTTTGACAATGTATATGATAGATACATATTTTAGTTATTTTAATGTGTGAACATGGCATGCAATGAACTGGTTTGACGTGGACAAGTAAGCACCTGAAGATGGCATTATTATGCCGAAACATGTAGTGCGAGGGAAAGAAGGAGATAAATGAATGTATGCACTGCAAGACGGATTAAATAAATCATGGACTTAAATCAGTGCAACAGGACGCTAAAATATAACATTACTGATAATATTTCTTAAGCATAAATACTATTCACCATTTAATTTTCTGCATGTGTCCCCCCCTCCTCAAATAAGAAACTACAAGGGAAGTTTCTGCATGGAAGTCTCAAGTCTGTACTCGACTAAAGCAACATTCCTAAATGTTTCTTTTACAACACTGTCAGTAACTAGACTATCTATTGTACATATTCAATTAATTAGAAAGGATTTGGCAGAAAGCAACTGTGGTCTAACCAAATTACTATCCTGACATTTATCTGGAGGGGAAGAGGAAAATCATTTAAATCCTCAATCAGGACACCATGTCCTTGACAAAATTCAAACCAAGCACCCTTAGAATACAAGTCTAAAGCATCATTAGACAAACCTGTTCCCTACACCTCTTCTTATTTAATAAGTTTTCCTTCCAGCCGCACTGTGGCCCTGGGGTCGACTCAGCCTCTGACAGAAATGAGTACCAGAAATATTCTTGGGGGTAAAGGGCAGCTGGCACATAAGGCTAACAACCTTGCCACCATCTGTGAGCCGACTGTCTAGAAAATGTGGGAACCTCAGCATATGACAACCCTATGGGCCTCCATGGCCTGTTACAGGGATACCTTTACTTTACTTTAATTACTTTTGATAAGAGATGTTAGCTACAGAAAGGAGAAATTTTTTATTAATGTTGGAACGTAAAACCTTTAAATCACTGTGATGCACCTCCAGGGACAGAATTCGAAGATGGCTGTAAGGGCATGATTTACACTCATGTCTTTTATTTTTCATAAGAAAAATGTTATCAAGTTAACGTAATGTTCCACTATGAGTGTAACTTCAACTAAATAGTAAATCATTTAGTTTGAGCAAGTGGAAGCATTTCAGTTTCTGTTAGGTTATAAAAGGTGATAAGATGTGTAACCAGACCAAATTATTCGTCTAATGTGCTCGAGTTCCACTTTGTGAAGTACCAAGTTTCTATTCCTTATCATGAAATGTAAAGGTACATTATTCCCATGCTTAATCATGAAGATGTAAGGTGAAGTGGAAGTACAGCTCCATGCATTCTAGACTTAAGATACCAGATGAAAGTATTCTGCTTCACACACGCGCGCGCGCGCACACACACACACACACACACATTCCTCCCATCCCCTCACAGTACCCACAGGACAGTAGGCTCGGTGGGCCCCAGAGCCAGTCGAGGTGGTGAAGAGAAAAATCCCTGCCCCAACCAGACACTGAACCCTGCATCTCCCGTCACTCAATCCACACCCTACACCGAAGTCATGCCGGATGTTATGACAATGGTGTTCATAATTATCATGTATCACTGTGTTATAACTAAATTAAAAGAAATATTTTGTTTTGAAAATTTTATCTATTTTGGTTATTCAAATTTTGTTATGAAATCTGACTTAAAATTTTTCCTATCATATTTCCATTAAATTGTTTTGCAGCACTCCTTCCAGCTCTTGAAGCACTGACTACGGATGCAACACTCACCATACAAACTAACGCATTATTTACTGAATCAAGTGTACCAAAGTAACAAATTCCTTTTCAAACCACAAACTAGACCGAAAAGTAACATGCCTATGCATCAAAAGTTGGAAGATCATGAGTTAATAACATCCTTTGAAACATACTACAGCAGCTCACTTGCCTGAAGTAATTACCAACCATGATTCGATTCATACAGCACCTCAAACTGCAATCTGTTGTCTCCTCCACATACAACAGGCAGCTTTCAACTCCTCTGGAAACTGCATGTATCAAGCCATGCAAAATTCTCTTCTACAGCCCTCAATCCCATCACCTGTAGCCCGTACTCCACATCAGAACTGAACTCCATCACTAAGTGGACTAATTTTCACTTACAAATTTGAGCATGTTCCAGTCAAAGACGTAGTCATAGGTGAAGCCCTGACGGTGGAAGAGCGTGCGGAACAGCTGGCGTAGGTAGGAGTAATCTGGCCGCTCCTCAAACCGCAGTGAGCGACAATATTTTAGGTAGGTAGTGAACTCCGCTGAAAAACATCATGAGAGAACTGAGAGCAATATACAGCGGAACCACCATTTAATATTCCTCAATTTAAGGTTCTCCTTCATTTTGTGTTGCAACAATCGCAAGTGCCAATAATTATCCTAAGCGTTATATTTCTCTCATTTCAGATTTTCTTTGCTTTACTGTTCAAATCTACTGCTACCCAAAGAAACCTTAAATGGAGGTTTCAATGTACTTGACATAAAGATTAATAAATCTTCTTCTGGTCTAGCAGTCTGATACGAACAAAGATATCGGACATATCTACATACAATCTATGACAGTAAATTACATCAAACAGAATGACACTTGAGATCCATCAAGCACTGCCTAAGAAGATAATACAACTGGCATCTTACATGATATGACATATCTGTCATCTCAAATGGTATAACATATTTTGCAGTGTTGTTTTAGATGTTCAACATAAGCAGACCTGGCCCACTTCTACACGGTGCAAACACGCAAAAACAAAATCAACATCAGCACTGAATCACAAAGAATGCCTAAAATCAGCTATAAATTTTCATCTGTCACTTTTATGGCTCTCACATTATAATGAATTCACAAGAGAATATGTTATTCATGGTGCTGTCCTTTAAATGTTCCATTTGTAACAAAAATGACACAGCCATAACTGTTCCTAACAAAAACTGTATACAATGACCACATAACAGCAAGGATGTGTATGTTTCATATGTGAAACTACTAAAATCTTGACAAACAATTCTGATTTTCACCAATGAGACTGATTTTCAATAGACAAAATGAGGCAGAAAATTTCTTTTAAACCAAGACATGGACATCTCTCACAAATCAGTTCCAAATTTTCAAAATATCCAGCAAATACCATACAAACACACTACAAAACAACTCTTTTAAAGAGGTAAATCGAGGCACGAAACTCCACTAGTAATGTTAACCTGACATTTAAGATGTACATATGGCTTGTTTCTCACTGCAAATGGGCCAACAAACTGTACATAGATAGCAAAAATCCTTGTATATTTACAAATGTAATGGTATTACAAAACTTCTATAGTAAGAAAATATCTGAAATGCCTATTGTAACACCACAAAAGACATGTGCCCACAGAAACAAAAACTTGCCCACTAGGAATGATGTCACTCACCTGGGTAACCTTTGCATAGTTCTTCAATAGCCGTTGACATTTTCTTTTCGCTGATTCGTTCATATTTCTGTCTCTTTGTTGCTGCCTTCAATCCTTGCCAAGGTAAGGAACCCCTGTTGAAATACATCAGTACATACCCCAGAGACTCCAAGTCATCCCTACGGCTTTGTTCTGGGGGGAAAAAAACAGCAAAAAAATAAAATAAAAATCCTGTATGTTTTTCCACTTACAACTTTTCAGCTTAAATTTAAGTAATCCTTGATGAGATAAGGTAAAATTACCCCCTGTGCTTAACTAATCACGTTCTGAAGGGGAATGGAGGGACAGTGAGGTATACATCCACAGCTTCTTGACCTCGGTACTAAAACCATGATAAGGAACACAGTGAAATTACAGCATACTCCACACACTGACAACATTAAAGCAAACCACATACTAAAGTAAGTGTCACAAAGGACTAGAAAACCGTGTCATGATCTGGAGTTCTAGCTATAACAGATAAGAAATCATATATGGTGAAACTCTGATTCTGCACTCTCAGATTTGAAGTTTTTTTCCCCAATTTTCACACCTTGCATACAGTCCTGATGAAATGCCTCCATGAACAAAGTAGATTTTAAGTGATCTTGTAAGATATGAGGTTTTCACAGCAGTGACTATGAAGAAAGCCGTCTTCTGGGATGTGGCACCATGTAGATATTGTGTTAACCAACATTTTGGAGGAACGTATCACCTCCATCTTTAGGGGAGAAGGTAGCACTTGCTCAGACTGGTTCCTCACTCACGAATTTTCTTTTTTCCTCTACCCTGAAGACGAAGACAACGCGTTCCTCTGAAACGTAGGTTAACACAATATCTACATGGTGCCACATCCAAGAAGACAGCTCTCTTCTTTAACTGATCTTGTTTCCCAAATATTTAACTTCATTCTCTGAGTCTCAACAATAGAAATCTGATTGATTTTATAACATTCTACTTCAGAAACTTGGAGGGGCACTGATCAGTTCAATGTCTGAACTACTGAAATGGGGATATCTCTCTCACACAAAACAGCTGTACAAATTTATGAATCAAGAAAACAGAAGAAAAAGAATGGTTAAAAAAATAGTATGATATGTAGGTTAGTGTATCTGCACTTAAACTGTTATTGTGTTCGAACATACAAAATTTAAAATCCTTACAGAAATTATGGTATGAAATATACCACATACTTCTTCATGCTGCATCACTTTCATTTCTCTGGTTTTACACTTTCCTTCATTTTAGATTTATTTTAGGTGGTACCTTGGAATGTGAAAAACTAAGGTTTCACTGCAATTTATACATTAAATTTACTAACCTATGCCCAGATGAGTGTTGATGCTGGCATATCGCGCGGTGCCAGTCAAATTCTTGTTTTCCCGGTATGGTATATGCTGATGTGAACGACCATCACGGTATTTCTTTGCTAAACCGAAGTCAATTATGTACACCAGATTACCCTTCTTACCAAGGCCCATAAGAAAGTTATCTGGTTTGATATCTCGGTGGATGAAGTTTCGACTATGGATATAGTCTATCCGAGAAATCTGAAATGGGAAACCACACCTCATGACCTTCAAATAACAAGCATCTTGGAACAAAAAAAGAAAGTCATATTCCAGAGCTCTATGAGAAATTTTACATCCATCCTTAACAACATGACAGACAGGCAATAATTATTTAAAAATATGTATAAAATATAAAATTAAACACTTCTCAGATATCATCAAATAAAGAAATGATTAACATCAACAAAATCACAATTTCATGGCAGCACTCCATTTTGACATCTTCAAGAACTGGTGAAGTCTTGCAGCTAGGAAAATAATCACAATGAAACAAAAATTTCCTGAAACAATAAAGAATTAAAACACTACCAGTATAAAATAATTCAACACAAGCTGTCAGGATGCAATATTTGGCAGTACTTATACATTTAGCCTGCTATGAACTGCAACTTTGAGTAACTTATCAAAGTAGCATTGATGGAGAAAATATATCAGCAAATTATAAATGGAACCCCATAAAACATTTCTGTTGAACCTCATTATATACTATAAACCTTGCAGTGGCACTGCTGGTCATTTCTTGATCACTGTGTCCCAATTATGGAGTTATTTTACTTAACTCTGTGCATGTCAATAACCAATTGGATTGGTTGAGCATGCCTGCATTAAACTGCCAAAGCTGAAAGTAGTGGCTCAGTGTTATCACTTAGCACACAATTTCTATCAACATAATTAACTGTGATACACCAATATGTAAGGAGCAGGCTTTCACCCTGTAAACATCTGTGGTTCTTTGAAGGCAATCTATAAAACTGTTGCAAGTTTTTCTATGAACGTACATTCAACGCCAACTGGCATTTCAAGCTGTAGTTCTATGGGATGACTTGGCAATCAGTGTCTTAAGAAGTATTAAATATTATGTTACATTACATTGAAACATGATACTAATTTAGGTAGCAAAAAGATACATAAAAGGGGAGCGGGGGATTAACACAGCCAGGGTATGAAAACGACCACTTGCCTCTAATTAATACCAAAGCTATGGGTAAGCATAGCTGTGCCTCCATCCCTCAATCATTCATGGTCAATTGCTTTAGCAAAGGGGTAACTCTACCCTTACAACACGCTGCACACTATTTATTGCTCCCTTATAGCACATGTCCAGATTATCTACAGTTATATACATTCCATAACCACCAGCATAAAAAGCACTTAACTTCCCTCGGATGCTTGATCAGAGGGACAAAAACAAGTAACTTCCAATCACTGCACTATAACAACTATCAATTCCTTACGAGTTGGTCGGCCAAAAGCAGCACAGTCTTGAGGGAAAAGCGACGTGAGCAAAAGTTGAAGAGATCTTCCAGTGATGGCCCCAACAGTTCCATCACCATCACATTATAGTCACCTTCGGAACCACACCACTTGATTGTTGGTATACCAACTGAAAAATATTATACGAAAAAATTAGTACTGCTTATCAAGCAAGTACAACACGTCTCAGGCACAATGTTGAAACACATCGGTTACAAAAACTCTCAACAATAATAAATTCTTAACCAAAGACTCACCACCACCCTGCATCATTTTGTAGAACTTCGACTCGATATGAAGCTGTGGATGCCGTGTTTTGATACATTCTAACTTGATGGCCACCTCCTCGCCGGTAGATATATTTGTTCCTATAATTATAAGCCACTAGCTCAGCCTCAGTATTATTTGAGAGCAAATTCTGAACCCAAAATACACTTTCACCTTGCGGAACTTTAAATCTTACGTACCTAGGTATATGTCGCCAAATGACCCACTGCCTATTTTCCGGCCTAGTCTGTATTTATTCCCCACTCTGAGCTCCATTTCTGTAAACACACTAACACATTAGAGGACAATGGAAACATAAACAGCTTCCATTGTGGTAGCCATATTTCAAGTTTTCGCCCAGAAAGGTACAACATAAAGACCCAGATTCAATCACTTAATATGCAAATACCTGGGGCCCAAGCTATAAATGATGATAACAGACGTAAAGGCCGTTCCTTGTACTTTTTAAAGCTTCATCAAGAAAATGACAGGTTTAACAATAAGCGAGGATTCTTTGGATTTCTCATAGTTGTATCACAAAATTATTCACTGACACACAGACGATCCCGGATATTACTTCATATTTTCTCCACACACGATGATGGCACTGCCATCACTACAATCTCAACACGTGACCACAGACATTGATGGTGGGATGTTTCGAGTGTTTGAATGTCTAATACGAAGCCAAACTCTTCTCAAGTTCTTTCGTTTCTGTATGAAATAAACATTAACTGTTATGAGTCGTTATAAGCCAGATACCAGGGCGGCATTCAGCCGCCAGCCTGCTCATTATTTGCTTTTTGATGTTGGACAACCCATGACTTCAACTCAAATGCGCAATGCTATTACGGTATTCTTTACACTTCAACATAACTGAAAATCGATGAAGAAATTTTTTAAATCATATTGATTACCAAATGTATTCTTACAGGCTGTACAAAATGTTTTGATGCTGGCTTGTTCAATTCGAGGAGGAAGTCGTATTCCTGCTTTTGGATTAGCAATGATTAACCAAAACTTCCAAAATGTGTACAGTCTAGAGGCAATTCAAGGAAACTTTTCCAAGATTTCAGCTGCCTTCAATTCTCTCTCATATCAGGTAACATACATTAGTGTGGCATTATCGTTTCCAAAGAATAAGATATGAAACTTCTATACTATTTTTAATAATGAACATTATTGTAATTCTAGTACATATCCCTATTTTTTTGCAGGCAAAAATCAGTGAAAAAGTGTCTTTTCAAGAGTTTAAGGACTATCTTTATCTGGCAATAAATTCATTACTGGAGGATTTCAAGTCCAAATCTGAAATCATGGTAAGATTTAACTGATATTTCTTATATATTTTCAGTGGTTCATGCAACAAAATCTACTTTCATATTCAACCTATGTAACTTTTGTTTTGAGTGATGAATTTGGCTTTGGCTTTGCATAAATATCTCAGAGATGGAACAGTTTGGTAATAAAAATGAACCACTAACGAATTCATTGGCATCAGAACCAGAAGGTTAAAAAGATTAATAAATTCTGAAACATTTCCAACCACCTTCCATCCACATGCAATTTCATGTGGTATATTACCCTATATTATTTACTTTCTTCATCTAACTGACAAGGAGGAAATGAAAATAGCTCAAGTTAATTATATATCAGTCTTCCAAATGTTCATTTCATCTTTTGTAGATAACAGATTGCCATTTATTGTGAATGAATTAAAACGAGTGCATGGAAACTAAATTGTAACACTATTATTGCCAAAAAAACAGTCAGTTAACTTCAATTTAACTATTACTCATTACTTTCTATTAACAAATTTATTATTATCATATCATTCCTAACTATTAAATAATTCAGGATAATTGCTTTTGAGTTTAAATTTTTTTATTTTTTCAACTGAACATTGTATGGTGTTGAGATATATTTTATCTGCAGTCAGGAATATTCGGTTCACAGAAGCCTAGAAACATGATGGAACCTGTTCACACCACTTCCCACACACACTTATTACATGAACACACCAGGATCTTTCATATGCCTTCTCCAAATACTAAATACTTGTAAATGTTAGTACTTACACTGTTGTGAAATGTAAGTAATGACTACATTCAGTATTAACTGTAAGTCTTCATTACTTTCAGACTGACAATAAATGCAGTTCCTTTAACACTGCACTGAAATGTGGTAAAAGTGAAGGGTTATGTTTCAATGTGAACTTTACATTTATTGTATGAGGACCGCATGAAAGTTAGTGGTTTTATTTTGAAAAATATGATATGACGCGTACTTACATGGTCAGCTAGGCTGCGCCATAGCTCAAGCGGTTAGTCACTGGCTTCCCACCACGGGGGCCCGGGTTCGATCCCAGGTCTGGTCATGTGGGATTTGTGGTGGACAAGGTGGCATTGGAGCTGGTACAATAGGCCGGAAGTGGCCACAGTACAAGGGACTTAGTCCCACCCCTTCCCACCTCATGACTCAAGGTATGCGCGTTCAAAACGGTGGAGGTCGTGGAATTTTTAAGGGCGGAAAAATTCAGGGAACAAGTCCTCCGGGAGGGACTTCAAGCCATGGTCCAGTGTCGTAGATTTACGGCACGTAAAAGATCCTCATGTCTCTAGGAGACCTCTGAGCTAAATTAAGTAAAAAGTTTCCCTCCCAAGTAGTTTTCAATGCCTCCGGTAGATGGGGAAGCATCGGGTACGGGGCTGATAATGAGCACCAGTACCGGCAGGGTATGGAGACTGGTAGAATATCAAAGGGGGACGTACAATAGACTATTAGTCGCGGTGCATGGGGAAACCCACCCCCTCCAATAATAATAATAATAATAATAATAAAATAGTCCCACCCACAATAGCAATAAAGAAAAAAATACATGGTCAGCTACTATTCCAGTGTGTTAGCTTAACAAGATCCCAAATTGTATCGAGCTCAACATTATAATAAGAGATTCTACATAACATCAGAAAGTAACAGATTGTTTTCTCTCACGTCAGTCTGGTAACAACAAATGGCAGTTCCCTCCACAAATGCAGATAACATTTGTGACAGCAAAGGATGGCTCTGATATCCAACTATGTCTAGAAGAGGCTGTGAAGACTATGAATATTGCAAAGCTTAAGAAGATTCAGGTAATTCTGATAGACAAGCTTGCCCGCTATTTTTTCTTAAGTAAAGAAAGAAACATGGTTAATTTTGGGAAGAAAAAATTCAGCATTTACAGTACACAGTGCCAATGGGAATAAAGGAATCAACTGTAGCAGTATCAGAACATAAGGACGGTGGCGGTGTCAAGAGTGAGAACGACTAAACTGGTTCTACATCATATAAAATCATTTGAAACTATATAGTATTTTCATATTGACACTAACCCATATACTGTACCTATAATTTACTAATTTCTGTACTTACCATATGAAAATGTAATATATTGTCACATATTAGTGACTAAACATGGGGTTTGGATTGATAATTGTATATATTGATCATAATTTGTAACTACAAAAAATGACAACGCTCTCACTAATTTACACAATCTATAAATAACTATAGCACTATAGTCTTTTTGGTTTGTTGTGGCTTCACTAGTCATTGCTAGGTAGTGGTTTCTAACAGTGGAAATTCCTGTGCTTCACGGCTAACCACCATCGATGAGTGCTGACTCTTGATTAATAGCTTTCGGTTTCTGGTAATTCCCCTATTGTTGTGTATGTATCCGCTGCTGCACGAACATGTTTACTGCGCCATGAACTAACACCGGCCACCTCTTCTGGCTCTCAGCTATCATGTCACAATTTGAAGATCTTTTAAATCAGCTAGTCTAGTATCATCAGAATGCAGAATTTATATGGTATAAAAAGGGGTTAAAACTTTGTTCATGGTTTAACATTATAACTAAAAAATCAAAACATGTGCCAAGAAAACTCAATTTCTTATGAAACATATCCACAAGCATCCAAAATTTGGCTCTTAAGAAACCATGTAGCAACAATAAAAGACAGATACATGACATCACTATATGAGAGATCATTGTGGAATCATATTCAAAGTTTTACACAGGCATTTCAGTTCATTTAACAAATCGCCTTAAGTCACCTTAAGTAATTAAAATCTTGTAGAGGAATTTCTGGAACAAATAAATTTCTCTTCAGAATTTCTATTTATTTACAATAAACCTTCACTTCTAATACACAAATTTCTTCTATTTACATCATCACTACAACATATTAATCCTTTCCATGTTGTATCACATATGTCAGCAACAAATTAAAAATACAAATCAACATTTATATACCATTCTATTACAGGTAGTGCAGTTACAGAATGAGTTGGGTAACCTGGTTACTGAAAGGAATATGGAAGAACCAGGCCAAAAGATCAACACAAACTTCCTAAAAGGAGTAGAGTTTGTAGTATTAGTTCAAGTTGCCGGAACTGAGAAGGAACTAGAGAGCTTTTTCAAGACATGGTTGCTGGACTGTGACATTGACCATGAGCACCTACGTATATCCCTGCCCCCTTCAGTTGACCTACCAGGTTCAGCATCTCCGGTTCTAAAGTGTGACATTGGTGAATGCCTCATCAATCCCCTCTCCCTTCCATTTGGTCATCGCTATCAGATTCAGATGGACTTTTGTAGCATTCAGTTAGGCGGAAGTGGTCTAACAAAATCTGCTGGTATGTTACTTGGCTAAACATATATTACTATAATGTAAATAAATGAAAGGATGAATATATGGAAATCACATTCGAGAAAGTTTATGGAGTTGTGTACTTTCATTTCTATAGCAAACTTTATAGTGGAGTACTGTTCATTGAATTCAGTCAAGGTTTGTCTATTTGTTTTTCTTTGATTATAGATTATAAGGATGTCATCCACGTATCCAGAATATGCTATTATTTGGTGTTTTATTAATATTTGGTATATTTGTTCATGTTCCATGTTTTGAATATATGCTTCAGCTAATATTGCTGATGTTATGGCACCCACGGCTAGTCAGTCTGTTTGTTTATAATGTTTGTTTGACATGAAATCATTTAGGATGTGTATTTGATTTTGGGTAGTTTCACTGATACTTGAGTTGATTTTCAGTATGTTAGTAATTATATCCATAGTGCCTATTTCTGGTATGCTGGTGTACATTATTTTCAATTCAAACAAAAATATTGCACAACATAACCATTAGATGAAATGTATACGCGAGATTTGGAGTCTCACAGGTGTGAATATGAAGAGTCCAGTCTTCTGGGATGTGACATTTGTAGTTTGGTAGATAGGTACCAGTATCTGGAGGAACAAGCTGCCCCCATTCTCAGAGTCTATGACGTCACATCCCAGAAGACTGTACTCTTGAACTCACGCATAAATCATTCTTCTAGGAGAAGCAGTTAATATATCTTTATTAATAGGGGCATGTGGTAGCGTAGTTGGTTGAGTAACTATGCTACAAGATGGAAGGTAGCAAGTTCAAGTCCCGATGAGATCATTTGATTTTCTCAATTCACCTAATCCTTCCGGCCGCACTATGGCCCTGGGGTCGACTCAGACTCTAACAGAATTGAGTACCAGGAACTAATTAAATAATTTTCCTGGGGAGTAAAGAGCGACCAGCGCGTAAGGCTGACAACCTTACCACCATCTTTGAGCCAACTGTCTAGATAATGTGGGACCCTCAACGTCTCACAACCCTATGGGCCTTCACGGCCTGTTACAGGGACAGCTTTACTTTTACTATTTACTATATCATAATAAATACCAAAGGATAATTAATGAATGAAATATAAGATGAAGTTCATATTAATGCCTGAACTTTCAATGGCAGCAAATGACATGCCAATATATGAATTGGAGGTATTGGCTTGTCTGTCATCAAGCAGCATTTGTCAGTCGCAGCTATTTGGTCAGCCAGCATGCCTCTACCCCACCCAGTGTTGGCATTTAGAGTGGGAAGAACTACTAAACAATCAGCAGGTAATTATGACTGTTTAATGAACCTGGGCAATATATTAAAAACTATATTGTTCCACTTAGCTCAGAAGAGAAAATGAAATATAAATTACAAGTGGCAAATTTATGACATGAAGCACAAAATGTATCGTAAGAATATCACTGAATGCCATGGAAATTTGAACTGTGGTATGTGGGATATACTACATTTATAATTTGTAATTTTCTCCTTATTACAAACCAGTTAGTTGCATTTCCCGTGGGTATCCTGCAGTGAAAACAAATTTCATTTAATTCAACTAAGGATATGTATCAAATCTTCTAGCAAATGGTCTCGCAATCTTTGATACATGTCATCATATTGACTTCCAGTTAATTTATACATAATTCACAAATGTCCATCTAACAGCTTTTAGAGGAACTATGAGGTTTAATTCAGAATGGAAACACAGCATATGTGAGATCCCTTTAGTTAATGCCCAGAAAAATGGCATCGGTTCAAATTCTAAGACAGTTTTCTGCATTTTGTTTTCATCAACATGTTTCAGGCAAAGCAAAAAACTGCTCGATTTGAAGTACCACAGACACAGTACTCTAAATTCAATACATGAATTGCACATTCTAAATTATAAGCTGGTCAAAAATCTGGAAGAGAACACTTATTTCATAGAACACGAAACAACTGTTGAATATGTAAATTGTCTCAGCATCTATTTCTACATATAATTTCATGGTTTAACTGCTGCTCCCACCTCAGTATTCCACATGACTGTCATATTGTAATAATGAAAACAGAGGCACAGAAATAAGTCTTTGTATATATTGCTACTTCTGAATTTAGATATGATTAACTGTTGCAGTTCTTTGTGTCGCTCTGCAAGAAACTATGTGAACGAGACGAGTACCTGCTGACTAGGCTCAAGGGGCACCTCCACAGTATCAGTGAATTAGCAGGCTACTTTGTTTTAGAATCAGGTAAGTGAAATTATGATGGTTTTATTTTTCTTTTTATTATTATTATTATTATTATTATTATTATTATTATTATTATTATTATTAATAATATCAATTAGCTTTTTAAGAGCTCTGATATTGACAATAAATCTATATCATTAAATACTTATCTCTCCCTACATCATGCTTTTAGAGCATTTGCAAACAGTGTTAAGGTTTATAAATTAGTCCACATACAAGTCCATGAGTTATTACAAATAAATAGTGTGTTGAGTGGAAAAAAAATACGTATACTAATTTATACCTGCCTGTTAGAGAGAAAAAAAAAGTGAGATACTTGGAACTTGAAACATCAGTCATTACTCACTCACTCATGGAGCTGAGCCCTTCAAGAGAAGCCGCCAATTGTGCAGATACTTCCAGCATTTTATGGAATGAGAAGATTCATTACCATGTTCACAAGAGCCCTCCACTGGTCTATATCCTGAGCCAGATCACTCCAATCCATACCATCCCATCCTCTCTCTAAGATCCATTTTAATATTGTCCACCCACCCATACCTTGGTCTTTCCAGTGGTTTCTTTCCTTCTGGCTTTCCCACCAATATCCTATATGCATTCCTTTTCTCCCCCATTCGTGCTTCATGCCCTGCTCACCTCATCTTCCTTGACTTGATCATTCTAATCATACTAGGAGAAGAGTACAAGTCATGAAGCTCCTCATTATGCAGTTTTCTCCGACCTCCTGTCACTTCATCTCTCTTCAGTCCAAATATTTTCCTCAACACCCTGTTCTCAAACACCCTCAGTCTATGTTCCTCCCTTAATGTCACCAAGTTTCACACCCATATAGAACCACATGCAAAATTATAGTTTTGTATATTCTAATTTTTATGTTTTTGGACAGCAGACGAGAAGACACAAGGTTCTGGACTGAATGGTAGCAAGCATTACCTGAGTTCAATCTCCTCTTAATTTCCTCCTGAATCAGGTTTTGATTTGTTATTGTTGTTCCCAAATATCAGCCATTACTCACATATAATAAATATAAACTAACAAAATACTTACATTCATGGCCATTTAAAAAGAGAATCAATATTTCTGAAGTTGGAGTATGATTCTCAACCTACAATGTCCAGTACAGGTACTCGGCAGTTTATGAAACAGCTGTTTTCCAAAGAGAAAAGTGAAAGAGATTGAAATCATATAAACTGAACATAATTTCCCCATAAGAATCAATTTAAATGTTTGAGATCTGCTACAAAAGGATCAGAATATTATTGCTGCCCTTCAACTTACTGTCTTGAGCAGCGGCCTCCGTAGTCTAGAGGTAACGTTCCCACCTCATGACTCATAGTACGCGGGTTCAAATACCCGGCGGAGGTCGTCGAATTTTTAAGGGCAGAAAAATTCAGGGAACAAGTCCTCCGGGAGGGACTTTAAGCCGTGGGTCCCGTGTCGTAGCTTTACGGCACGTAAAAGAACCTCATATCTCCTAAGGAGGTCACTGAGTCAAATTAACGGACGTTTCCCGCCCAACAGCAGTCTCTAATACCTCTGGTAGATGGGGGAAGCATTATAGATACCTCTCAGCTAGTAGAGCCGGTCTCGCTGGCTGAGTGGGACTGATGGTAAGCACCAGTACCGGTAGGATATAGAGACTGGTAGAAATCATAGAGTGAAGCACAATGGACCAATACAGGTCTCAGTGCATGGGGAAACCCACCCTCTCCAATAACTAACTAACTACTGTCTTGAGCAGTACAGTATATCCTTTTCTTATTTCAACAATATCTACATCATGTCAGCAGGAATAATTTATCAATCATGTTTACAATTATTTATTTTGAAAAATAACTGCTTCACATTGCCAACAGATGGAGTGACACAAAGTCCTTGAAATGTGCTCAGAGAACATGTGTCACTGAATCAAAACCACGTGCCCAGCTGTCCCTAAACAGAAACATACATTCTTTCTCCCTTTCTCGAATATTAAGAAACATATTATATAAGACACATTTCAAACAGTGATCTAATGGATGAAGTCATTTATTTCCATAGAGATGGTTAAGCTAATTATGAAGCAGATGACTCCAGTGGTGCAGCAGGGGACTGAATTTGTTGAAAAAATTGGAAAGATAGAGTTTTCCATTTATGGCCACTGAAGTTGATGGTAAAGTTTCACTAGAGAGAGTTTCTTTTCTGCATGTGGTATCAGACAATTAATTTTTTCTACAAGTATTTTGTACCCCTCGTTTTTCACTTCCCAGTTTTTATAAATTTCACTTACCTTCCATAAGGATAGCAACTCCTTGTACAATTCTATAAACTCCCTCTAAAATTCTTTGTTATCATTAAATCGTTAAACTTTCTCATGTCAAATGTTCACTGTAAGATGTTCTCTTGTCAAAGACTGGATTCCAACTGACACAAGTTGTACAACACCACCACCACTCACAGTGCAAGTGTGTTAAGCAACAGATATGCTGTATAAAAATTATCAGCAAATTCTGATTTTACACAACAGGTTGTGTAAATTGTCAATCTGCACCATTCGTGGTCAATCATGTTGCACAACATGTAACATTGTGCAATATGATTGATCGTGTATAAATCTGTGGTTTCAGATGGCAGTGAGCTACTACTGAATGCAGCAGTTTCAGCAGAACTGGTCCTACCAACACGAGAGGTTGGACTGCCTTGTTTGTCTAATGACAGGAAGGCACACAAGATGTTAAATGCTGTATCAAACTGTTTGGATCACCTACCACTGATACAAGACTTCCAGCCATCTGACTTCCCATCAGGCCTCTACAGCATACTGGCACGCAACCTGCAGCATAACACTACAGTGAGTGAGAGATGAACTGAAGATTACTGTCTTCAGGGATGTGACACAGTGTAGTCTGGTACTTCATTATTAATATTTGAGAGGAACCTGCTGTCTCCATCTGCAGGGTAGGTTAGAGACTACTTGGCATCACACCCCAGAAGCCAATGTTCCTCATAATCATTCCCCTGAGAACCTCAAATCTCATGACAGATAAACTGAGCTTTAAGTCTCTGTTTATTTTTTAAATACTTAACTCCATGAATAATAATTATGAAATTATTTAAATTTGATTAGGCAGACAATAGAGTATTTGTACCTAACAGATAACACATAATGGGAGGCCAGAGAAAACTGTGTAATGAGGAACTTCATAATTTTTTCTTTGCCAAATTTCATTAGAGACATCAAACAATGAAAGATGAGGTGAGCAGTGCACGTAGCAATGAGCAAATGCATGCAAAAGATTAGCCAGAAAAAAATAAATAAGACCTATACATAGATGGAATAATGGAATGAATATAAAAGATCTTACAGAAATACTTAGAGGTTACAAGGATGTGAGCTAGATTTATCTGGCTCAGGACAGGATCCAGTGGTAGGCTGTACAGTAATGAACATTCAGGTTCCATAAAAGGTGGGCAATTTGGCTAGCTGAATGACCACATATTAGCTCCTCAACTTACCATTCCATGTACATGGTGTCAATTTACAATTTACATTTATAGTACTGTAATAAAATTAAATGAATTTATAATAATTAGAATAGACACCGCAGGTTTCGTGATTTATTTGGCAACACAAAAATAAAGTTAAAATTGAAAATAAAAAGTGTTACATTATTAACAAAATTTGGTATGAAGTAAAGCAAAAGCTGTAATATTTTCTTTTGTGCACTATTTCAGTATGATAACACTCATTTCCTGAATGGAAGTTCTAATTGTGATATGGGAAATAGTGGTCACCCTGCACTTGACACTTCACCAAGTGAACCCCACACTCGAGGAGGCAGCAAGCGTAGCCGTGGTAGTAACAGCACAAAGAAGTAGCATGCAGTCATCTGACTGCAGGAAATGCAAGAAAAAACCCATCACACTGTATTTATTTTCTGCCACATCTCAGAAAAATGTGGTTTGTTACTATTTCCTATAAAGAATCAAGAACATCCAATGTTCCTCTTTATTTGTCCCATATCTCTTAGTAGTCTGTTCTATTAAACACACTATGTACCTCACCATGCTGTATATCCTTTCATGCAATAAGATCAAATGCAGTTTTCTTCTCATTATACAACTTGTGCCATTCATGTGCTAAGAGGAAAAATGGTTCTTCAATCCCTTGATTTTCTTTCTGTAAGAAATTAATGTATTAAGTAGAAAAAACATATATGAAGATGGTAGAAATTAAACACTGCAAAAATAAAAATCAATTGAAAAAATCAGTCAGTTTTCATGGAAGACAACATGAGTGTACAATTACATAATATGCATTGTGTTCAAAGTGTCCTTAAACGCTTGTCATTCACTACAATTGTTATATGGAAGAAAATTACTGGAAATAAAAATCTGAAATAAAACAATTAATTTTATTTGGCTACAAGTATTTAAGATCTGGTAGGGTCAAGAATTTTCAATTCTCCATGTCATCCAGACTAGTTTTGGGGTCCACCAGCCTCCTATACAATGGGTAGTGGGGGCTCTTACCCCAGAGGTAAAGCAGCCGGGAAGTGAAGCTGACCATTCACCTCCAGCAAGTGCAGAGGTCAAGCAAACATGGGTCTATAGATCCACTCCCCCATGGGACAACTTCACCTTTACTTTCACTCTTTTACAAGTATTTTTTGGTCAAGATTATATAGCATTACTACAGTCACAATAAGTGTTTTCAGTTGAAGTACATTGTTATAAATAAATTTCACCCATAGATGTTATATCTTACCTTTGTTAGTTACAGTATCACTACTTCTTGTGACCCATTTTCTGATTAGGATATCTGACTGAAACTGCTTAATAAATGAAAGTCTGAAGAAAGCAGTCTTCTGGGCTTTGGCGCCGTGTATATGTGGTGTTAACCGACGTTTCGGAGGAACGTATCGCCCCCATCTTCAGGGTTGAAGAAAAAGTATAGGTAAATCTGCAAGCAACAACACCGTGAGACACGGTAACGCAGAATACGTTCCTCCGAAACGTCGGTTAACACCACATATACACGGCGCCAAAGCCCAGAAGACTGCTTTCTTCATAGTCACCGCCGTGAAAGCCTCAAATTTTGCAAATGAAAGTCTGTTCGTTAGTTTATTTAATAATGTCACATTAATATTGGCACAAGTAAAGTGTGACTCTCGACAGGGTAAGTATTGGTGAATAGATTTACTGACTACTTACAGGTCGTAACTACATACAAATAAATATAACACCATCACAGATTCCAACATTTTACATACTACACAGTAGGTCTTCTGCAGCCTGCAGTGTCTTCACTAGTTGTGACTTAAGCTCTCAACAGTGGAGATTCTTCAGCTTCTGTGTTCACATCATTACTGCCTGGTGAATATCCCACAACTGAACTGTCAGCTTATAATGCCATCTCTTCTCAGCCTCTCTTGCAGAACTCAACTTGCAACTGACTTGGTCACCCCAATTGTCTTTCTTAGACCTCTTTGCACTCACCGAGTAGAAAACACTGTTTCCAACAGTAATCCTACTGTTGCACATTCATTGCCACAGGAATGTGTTTATTGACCCATTGCCTAGAAATGGCTGTTGTTTATTTTCCTATCTCACAGCCATTGCTAATATCTTGAACTAGAATGACCATCCTGAACTAGGATATCAGTTCAATGTATCCAAAGTATAAACCACATCCAGAAAGTAAGCTAAAATACTTCCTTTGCTATCCACACTTCATGTGCACTACGCTCTAAAATATTTTTCTGTCAGTCACATTTCTGAAATTTTAGTGAATATTTTTTTCTTCTTAATTTTACTGGCTCCTTGGCCATATAAAGGGAGCTGGTTTTCCTACCACTTCTTGATATTTGATATTTTATAATTAAACATTTATGAAATATAACTGAACACTTACAGCAGATCCTTCAAAATACACGAGGCCAAGTTTCTCTGCCATGGCAGCTCCTTTCTTGGGACTTACAACTCTCCGGTCTACTAGGTCAGTCTTGTTTCCAAACAGAACGCCAGGGGTTGTAGAGGCAGCTTTCTGAGGTACAGAGCTACGTACAAGTGCAACCCACTGACTTACTGAATCAAGTGACAACTCGGATGTTACATCAAATACTGCTATTAAGATATTCGGATTGTGCCACTGAGAACATTAGAAGGAAAACAGACACAAATTAAATGAAGAGATTGTGGCAAAGCGATGAGAAAAGTTAGAATAAAATGAATGTGACTAAATCAGTCTTTCCCTGCCTGTAGAGTCAAGTATAATGATAAGATTTTGGGTGAGTATACTGTTTTAAATAATGCTGCTGTGGTACCAAATGTGATAACATGCAGTGCGAGAGTAATACTAACTTGCTTTCCACAAAAGGTTCAATGTGGTTGGTCTTAGTCAATGCATTCTTTGAACTGCAGTCCCTGCAATTGCTTTGCGTAATTGGGTTTTAAATGATCATGTCTATTGCAGCAGCTTTGATATGGCACAGTTATGGGTATAAATCTATACCATTATTGGTACCATCAATGAGAATGTGTTATTTGCAACAGTTCACTGTTCCCATATTGAAAATATATTCATCCATGAATCATATCTATACATACATGGTGCATGTGCTTTCTGATATCCTCTGCAACGCTGTGCTATATTTATGAAAATATATGCATTTAGAACCAAATCATGTATGCAAAATTTGAGATTTTCAAAGAAGAGTCTGAAGATTAGAATTCATACCACTTGTCTACAAAGACATGCACATCTAAATATGTACCTTACATAATATAGTACAAGACTGTTCTAATTAAAATATGAATTATGAGTCTTTGCTTCTAACACTTTTTACCTTAATACTTTATACATTTATCATTATCAGTACGTGAATTGACCGCTTCTTTGGTCTAGTGGTCAGAGTTCCTGTCTACAGATCCAGAGGTCCAAGTTCGATTCCCGACACTATCAGATTTTCTGAGAAATAGTGGGTCTGGAATGGGGTCCACTCAACCTCGATAGGATATTTGAGGAGTACTTCAAGGAAATAAAGGCTCTGGTTTATAAAACCAAAATTAACAGCCGTGGGGATTCATTGCACTGACCACGCTACACACGATCCACTAAAGTTGGCACTAACTTAACCTACAACCAGTGGTCGCTCAGTCAGTATAGTTTGCTTGTGGACTCAAGCCATGGAGTTTTTTTTCAGTACATGAACTAGCAATGTTAATATCTGGTTAACATCCGATTTCCTAAAATTCTCTTACAGCTCTGCAAGGTACATAAAATTATAATGTACTTACTCAAGAATCTATCGAAGATACTCNAAATGAGTGTATGCACTGCAAGACGGATTAAATAAATCATGGATACTCGTTTTGTCATTTTAATATTCATTATCTTTACTTACATATTTTGAAAGGCAGTCCTTGTAAAGGTCTTGCCCTGAGGAATCATAAATGAACATTTCCACAGTGTCATTTGTGTCTGGGATTGATATAGTCTTCACATTCAGATCAACTCCAAATGTCTGTAAACAACAGGAACTAGTTATTTACACACATGCTCTCATGTCTTAATTTCTGTCCATCATTTAACTTCGTACCAGTTTAGAAATACTGTCATGTGTATTAAATCATAACTACAAGTAATTATAGACCTCTCATTAATTTGTGCACTCAACTTCTCACTACAGCATGCACTAAGTCTTCTATGTCTTCAAAAGCTGTTGCTTGGTTATGGCTCTCTCCAATGGAGACTCCTCTATTTCCATGCTTACACCCCTGCCAGCCAGAGCCTCCCAGCTGCAACTAACCGCCATCTCCTGACTGTAAATAATTCACATTCTCGACTGCCTCTCAGCATGGACCACATAGAAAACACCATATTACCTAGCAATGGCTCAACAGGTCGTCTATTGTTGTGTGTGGATTTTTCACCATGAAGAGATGTTTACCATACTGTTGCCTAGCAACGGCCGTCTCTTCTCGCTCCAGTATTCTGGTTTCAGGCAACATGTCACAATACTACAGAATCTAGAATAATTTTTATATTGGATTTGAGATTCTCACAGCAGTGGCTATGAAAATTAGAGTCTTCCGGGTTGTGTAGTACAGAGAGAACCTGATGTTTCTGAGAAAAGAAGCTGTCTGCAAACTAAACAGTATTATAACCCAGAAGACCATTCCCTCTAAAGAAGTTCTGTCACCTGTGGCAAACATCACTGAGAAGTGCCGACCATCATATGAATTGATTGACTGACAGAAGTACAGCACTTGACAAAACGAACAAAATTAAAATATAATATTCATTCNAGCGCCTTTTAAGAAAAGAAATATTTATCTGGATTATGGGAAATTCATCCTCAATCGTTTTTAATGTGTACGTATAGTGGAATACTATTTAAGAGTTAAAATTGTGAATGAATCACAAAGTCAATAGAAAGTCCGTCTAGTGTAACAATTTGTAGGTCACTTCTTTATCACTTCTGCCTTACATGTTTCGGTTTTCATGTTTTCATGTTTTCATGATTGTACTATGTGCCTCTGATGATGGTTGTATTAAACCGAAACATGTAAGGCAGAAGTGATAAAGAAGTGACCTACAAATTGTTACACTAGACGGACTTTCTATTGACTTTGTGATTCATTCACAATTTTAACTCTTAAATAGTATTCCACTATACGTACACATTAAAAACGATTGAGGATGAATTTCCCATAATCCAGATAAATATTTCTTTTCTTAAAAGGCGCTTATGGAAACATACATTTTTAATCTTTTAATTTCTTCTATTAAGAGCTTCAGTGATATCAAATTTTGTCGATTCAGAAGTATTAATAACATAATTCTTCTTTTTTTTTACTTTAATTTTTTAATACTTTCTCCATTGATGTACAGACCAGTATTTAACTTAAAAATTAAAAACCGCTGACAGAAAATTTACTAGATTTACTTGCTAAAACAAGCACTTTTAAACATTTTTTTACTGCAATGTGATATATAAAGCAACACAAAGCTGATATAAAAACCAGAAAAAGAAGCCTCAAACATATGTTGTAATTATGGATTTAAATGCGAAGTATGAATATTTTTGATTACCATAAACATGTGACAACTTACTGATTATGAGTATCTACTCCAATTTTGCACTACTTCATTAAATATTAATAATACTTATATGACGTATTATAACAGATCATTCTGTACTTCAAGGTATGATATGAAAGGATGGTTAAATTTGTAGGAAGACAAAAGCATTGATCACTTTCCAATTTATATGGGGATAGAAAGGACTATAAATCAGAGCTGCTGTTCCATATTGCTGTGCGTGCATGTGATGAGGCATGAATTGTCAGAAAAATGCATAAAAAGCATGGTTTTTACTGTTACATATGAAGAATTTTCATAGTTTTAATGTGAACTAAATCTTAGTTTCATTTGCCAGTATTTCCAGATTTCTACACTTTCTTTCAAGGATCCGGGATAGTGCAGTTGGTATAGTGACTGGCTATGGGCTGGACAACAGCTGGGTCAGAGTTTAAGTCACAGTAGGGTCAAGAATTTTCTCTTCTCCACATTGTCCAGACTAATCCTGGGGCTCATGTAGCCTGCTATCCAATGTGTACTAGGGGCTCTTTCCCCAGGTGTAGAGAAGCAGAGACGTGATGCTGACCACTCACCTGCAACTACTGCCGAGGTCAAGAAAACGTGGATCTATACAATTACTCCCCAATACATATTTATGAGGTAGTGATTAATTAGTTAAGCACAGGGACAACTTTACATTTTTATGACTCAAACAGTTTCTGTCAGTAAACTTCCATCAGCCTTCCTTCCACAGCACAACAAAGATCTAGCGAACAACTTATTTTAGCCTATCTCTGGAGTTATCATTATCATAGCTACTGTGATCCACAATTTGAGTTCATCTAATTGTCAACCTGCCCAGTGCACTCACACTCCATTCTGGCATAACTGCACATGAGAAGTGACCTGGCCTGGGCAGTGGACAGGGAGCTGAGGTCACAATGTTTGGCCTCCAAAATCGCCAGATTTGACACCCCATAACTTTGCTTGTGGAATCTGAAGTTGCATCAAAAGCCATGTGTACTGGTGCAGTTAGTAAGTGGCCAACTCAAACAGTGAATAACTGCAGCTGTTGGTAACGGTAACTCAAGAGACAGATTAAAATAAGTTCTTGTCTAGATACATGTGACGCCACAAGAGGAATGCACATGGAAATTTTATGACAAAATATTTTTAATTACACTTCATTTCATTGAATTATTTCTTCAATATTCACTGGATTCAGCAAGGAGTAAGGAGAGTGTGGCACAGGTTGACCAGCCACTTCATGAAATGCCTGTTTATGTTATGACCCAAACATTCTCGAAGTTATATCCAGCATACAACTGTGGTTGCAAGGCAAGGAGAAGACAGTCTTAGCCTGTCAGCTTGAAAGTCAAGCTGAAAAGACATGTGTGACCAATGCAAAAGAAACGGATGCACAGCAAGATGGTGCAGTCCGAGCCACAAGAAGAGAACAGTACAATGGCATACAGTGACAAAGGAGTGGACAAGGCCAAGCTGACATTTAAGATCTTAAGTGGTGACTGACAGCGAAATCGCAACTGTTCCAAAATACAATAAATGTTATAACATGTAAGTTAAAAAAAAAGAAGTAAAGCTATCCCTGTAACAGGCCATGAAGGCCCATAGGGCTGTGAGACGTTGGGGGTCCCACATTATCTAGACAATCGGCTCAAAGATGGCAGCAAGGTTGTCAGCCTTATGCGCTGGCCATGCTTTACTCCCCAGGAAAATTATTTAACTAATTCCTGGTACTCATCAGTTAAAAAAATTGTTACAAAATAGTTATACTGTATTCAGACTGGTTGAAACTTAAAAAAACTTTCTGAGTAAGGTGAGTTCGCATGATAATTCTTGATAAATAATTAGTAGTGTATGCTGTCTCTTCCTTTTCTTGACCACATTGAAATTCGCTATCAAAGTGTACAGAAAGTTTAAATCATGAGTACAATATACAAATTTATTTACTAAGACAAGGAAGAAAATTTATTAGTTTCCCCACAAGCAAATTTGGATACATTACCACACACATTAATCCCCAATTTTCTTATCAACATTTATTTCCATTAATATCAGCCCTTCAAAACATCTGATCCACCAGCAAACACTGGTTATAACTTTGATCACTAAACTCAGTCTCTATTATGTATTGAAACAGTAACCAGTAAGCTTTCATGTAGATGTGATCAAATTTTACAAGGGTTTATCTTCGTTTTAAGTTCTTTGCCAAGTGTGATATGATTTGACTATCAGCATGAGATGTTATGTACTAACCTTCCTTCTTCGTAAGTACTCCTATGCACACATTAATTCCCGTACATATGAATCTTACCATGTTATAATTCTTCGGAAATTCTCTACCATCTGACAGAAACATCTTGGTAAGGGCGGTTTTTCCTACTGCTGAGTTTCCTATAATAACACATTTTGTTCTCAAGATATTGGACATTCCGATTCACTTCCCGTATACAAACACACACTCTTATGCTTTGCGGTATTACCCTATTACTAGCGGTTACTAGGCAACCGACATGTCAACCAACATTACACCACGCAATTCATGTCTCTTTCCAAAATGTCCCTGAACTTGGTATATGATTTCAGACACTACCAACACAACAGGCCCAGCCCACGCCGAGCANCTCAGTTTCTGACTCAGAGTCTAAATCTATGAGGATTTGATCAAGGGATGCCATGATGTTAGGTGCTGACGTGGATCAGTACTGGGTTCAATATGCGGTACCTCGATCCAGCCCATGGACGTGGGATCCATGGGCTAGGCGTGTGCTCGGCGTGGGCTGGGCCTGTGCTGGGTTCAATTTGCGGCGGGCCTAACTGGCTTGTGAACTCTGCAAATCGAGAAGACACAGCTTCACACTTTGATGGATACGAGTTGGTGAAATCCCACGAAGTGCTGCCCTAATGAGGGAGGTGCGTAGTGATGTGCTGCGCAAGGCTAACCTAACCTAAGCCAACCAAACGTTACTCCTACACCTTTAGGGCGATGACACACGGAGTGGTTTTTGCCGAGTCGGCCGCAGCCTTGTGGCAAGACACACGATGCTGCACGCCGACTCGGCGGCCGCGTCAGAAACTGCTGATAATATATTTAATCTATGGAGCAAGTCTTCAAACCGATCACTGCACCGCCTGCAGACGACAGGCCGAGTCGGGGAATACTGCCCGCTCCTTGTGCCATCGCCCTTAGTGCTGCTCCAGTGAGAAGGAGAGTGCGCAGGTGGATGCGAAGTGGTGTGCTGCTCAAGTCAATTGTTACAACTGTGTCTCCCACCTCGTTAGTTCGAGCGTATATCGTGTTTTTAATACTGATTGTAATAAATTGGAAATGTTGGATTTGGGATGTATTTGAATGGCATGTCTTTCATTTCATTTTTCGTGAAAATCGGGTAAATGTTTCAAAATATGTTTCTTGGATCTGTCATTCGCGTAGTGGGGGTTGGAGTTGTGTTGGGTCCCCTCAGCACGGCGGCCACTGATTGGCCTATTGTACCTACCCCGTGTGATTACGATGAAGGAGAATTAGGTGGAATGAAGATTGGCAGGGGAAACCGAAGTACTCAGAGAAAACCTACCCCAGCGCCACTTTGTCTACCACAAATCCCACTTGACTAGACTCGGGTTTGAACCCGGGCCGCCGCGGTGGGAAGCAAGCGACTAACCGCTTGAGCTGTGGCGCGGCTTTTGGATCTATGATAGTTATTACTTGTGGGACCTGTTCGAGGTATTGTAATCAAATTTAATTGAAACATATAGTATACACAGGAAGTATCTAGGAATAACATTCGATATGGGAATCGATACTTGATTGTATGATGTATATTTTATGCATAAATGACGACACCATATGTTGGAAATTTCTGGATGCAGATATTGGTACACATGAATCCTCAAAATGGAGCGTATAAATTGAAAATTGAATTGCAAATAATTTTAATAATTACATAATTTTTCTAATATAAACAGTATGAGTACTTAATGATGTGTTCACATTACAGTTAAACCTAATCACAGTATATTACTTTCTTTAACATACAGATTTTAGTATAGTATGTTATTCAGTGCATGGGCAAGGCGTGTACCTGATCTCTAACATGGTAATAGATTTGTGATTTGCGAAAGATTCGTTGTTTACCCACACGCTGTTATTGGGTTACCTATGTAAGTACGAAGTCCGTTGTGGTGTGTTCTGGTACCTATGGTTATAATTTATCTATATTAAGGAATCAAACCGAAAGCAAGAAAGTGATAACACGCGTAGTAGAGATCATATGCAACTCTTGTTCATGTGTGGAAAAAATGCGAACGCTCTATGAAAGATGTAAATGTTTCGAAGAGTGAACAATTCTGGACATACTGAATTAGTCTAATCCTACCGAATCAACTGTAAGTGAATGTTGTGGCGGTCAGTGATGTGCCCAATTTAAATGATGAGTTACGTGGTGTGTGGATTTACTGCGAGCCTATAGTAAATTGGACAGTATGAGGAAGTGACGGAAATAAAAAAAAACTGCTCTACATTTAAATTTCTGTACTCACTTATGAGCACCCACCTCCCCCAAGCAGAAGAAGCTAAATATCTTGCGATGCATCTTGACAGAAGGCTGACTTGACACAAACATGTTTACACTAAAAGGAAACAACTAGGCCTAAAACTCACCAAACTATACTGGTTAATAGGAAGAACCTCCAAGCTGACACTTGACAACAAAATCATACCGAAGCCCGTCTGGACATATGGAATCCAACTGTGGGGAACGAGCTCAAACTCAAACATCGAAATACTAGAACGCTACCAGTCAAAGGTACTTCGCATGATAACCAATGCCCCCTGGTATGTGCTCAACAATGTCATCCGGAATGACCTTGATATGACTACAGTCAAAGAAGAAATAAAACAACTTAGTGTTAAATATAGTAACAGACTTAACAAGCATCCAAACGCACTAGCAACAGACCTCATGAGCCAGCCGATTCGGAACAGAAGACTTAAAACGCTTTGCGCCAAATGCTCTGCAGGGCAGATTCTAGGCATATTTAGTTTATAAGCTAGATTAAGGTTACAGATGTAAGTTCTACTCCTGCAAACACAACTAATCTGTATTCATTATTATACGAAAGGCGTCTACTAATGAGTAGCCTCCTACAAGCCAATATTATATTATTCCACCGTTTGCTTATTGTAACTTTTGCAAAAAAATAGGAGACATTTAAAAAAAAACTTATGAACATAGTCTTCAGATAAGCTCGTCATCAAATACAAACTTGACTGCTGTTTTGTCACCTTCAGTGGCCAAATATTGAGTATGACCCTGCATAACAAACTTAATAGATGAGTCAGTTTTATAACTGTAATGTCATGTGTGTGTGCTAATGGGACACACAGCATAAATTTTTATACTATTATTACTCGAGTACACTTTGTAAGATTTGAGGTTTTCACGGCGGTGACTATGAAGAAAGCAGTCTTCTGGGATGTGGCACTGTGTAGATGTGGTGTTAACTGACGTTTCGGAGGAACGTGTCCTCCCTTTAACCTTGCCTTTCTCTCCCCCGACACAATATCTTATACAAAACCCTGCTTCTGTTCCCAGCCCCTTCCCCCCTCCAACTCCACTGATTTCCCATGTAGACTTGCCCCCCCCCCTCCCTTCACTGCTCTCACATAGCTGTGTTTATTTCCAGCACCAGTCTGCTTGTACCGGTTTGCACGTTCTCTTCACTCGTGGATTTATTATTTTCCTTCTACCCTGAAGATGGAGGTGATATGTTCCTCCGAAACGTTGGTTAACACATCTACACGCTGCCACATCTCAGAAGACTGCTTTCAAGTTTACTTTGGTTTGAAATTCTGCCCTTCTCTTCTAGGAATTGTTGGTCTCCGAGTTCCTGCTCAGTATATTGGAAACTTTGCGTCGTTCAATGTTTGATCCTTATGTAAAAATTGTCCCTCTGCTAGATGTGCAGCTGCTAATGTTTTTTGCAGGGATGTTGACATATTTGGAGCCTGGAAAGTTCTCCCCAAATTTTTAAATATGGTATAATAGTTACTATTATTATTTGCATGAACATAAATAACACTTAAACTGAATTATCATCATTATTCTGAATACCTATACATTTCATTTCTAATTGTCAGTAGCAACTGAGATTTGTGATAATGTTTTGTTAGTCTTTGACTTAATGTTGTGTTTGTCCAGTATCTATAAAACTACTTCTATCTACACTGTGCTGAATCTGTAATTTGCCTTGGGGCTGTTGGCTCAGCACATAAATAAGAAAGAATGGAATTGAATTATTAACTTTGTAATTGGCCTCTGTGCTGTGAAGTTTGTATGTAAATAAACACAAATTAAATTGAATTATTATTCAGAGACTCAAAACGTGTTAATCCATCAAAATCTCTAGTAATATTCATGAACACAGTACTTCCACATATATACTACAATCTGAAATTGTTATAGAAAAAAAAATGTTTTAATTTAAATTTGATGTTCATAAAATAGTTACAGCAAGATGTGATTATATTAAGGCACTCTGCAACCTATGTTGAAATTTGGTATTTGTCAGAATTGCTATTCAGAACACAAGCAAATAAACTTGATAAATTTATTTAAACTATTTTACATGCACTCTTACAATTTAAATGTACATATAATACGGGGTGATTCTAAATTATTGTCGGGGATTCTGTTTATAGGCCACGTAAACCCTGACAATAATTTATAATCGCCCTGTGTTATTACAATATGAATCATATGTTTTTCTTAGGCATCTTTGGCATTGATGAAGCACTTCTACACTGACGATGCAGGGTGGCTGTCAAGAGTGGTTAGTCCGTACAAAATACTCAAAAACAACTAAACATCAATAAAAAAAACCACAGCCCACAATAATGTTTCATCTGATTCTTGTGTTGCTTGTTAAGCGTTGTTAAGAGTTCACTTGTTGTGAAGATAAATATGACTTCTCCTTTTGGCAGTGAGAACTTCTGGTGCTGCCAATGTACCAGTGTGGTACAGAACAGCATCTGTTGTTACTGCACCTATGGGACACACCTGTGGCCAGGAGTTTTTAAATATACATGCATTTTTAACTGTTATATTTAGTTATTTACATATTCGATCGTGTTTATTAAATTCATGTACGGTGTTACATGACAATATCCTCTGAAGTTAAACCTACGATCTAATCACCTGGCAACAGCTGTTCAAGAAAAGCTCTATACATCATATGGCTTATGAAGATGTAATGAAGCAAAGAAGCAACTTCATGTTCTGTAGAAGTATATGAATTCAGAGCATCAAGCCAAAGTGACTGCTACACAAAAGCAAAGATAGGGAAGACACTGTAGAAATAATATAATACACAGAGGAAGGAAGAATCAATGGAGCAGTGACTCCCTGCCCAGAGGTTACAGCAGTAATAACAAACTGATGTTTGTTTAGGAAAGTAACTGACAGAACACAAAATAATGTGCATCTCATTTATAAATAAAATGAAAATTATATATTTAACAATTTCATGATTTGGAAATATTTTAATATTGTTAGCAATGTTATAATTTAAAAACATATTTGGTCTTGTAAGAGGATTATATGTAAATAGGTTCTTTATCTACCTTAATCTCTTCAGTTATCTGAATTTATTTGCATATGTCTGTTGATGAAAACTTGAGATCCAGACAACAGAAAAACCCAGAAGTCTGAGCAAAGGTGATAAATATAGACTCTACAAGCTGCTAGCTCTCATCTTGTACCTATGCCTAGGTGCTGCTGTGTCATTATACTGTCGCTGGACAGGTCTATGCAGGAGTGGGCGGGGCTAGGAGGTGACAGACTGCAACACTGCTTCTGGACTGGTGGTGGTCATTGTGGCAGTAGGTACAGTTTGGGACTGAGACTGCTCTGAGCTATGTGATGAAGACCGAGAGTGTTTGCCTCCTGCAGAGGGTGCAACTGGAGTTTGTACTTGGGGCTGTGGAGGGCTCCTTGTGCCTGGTGGATTGCTGGCTCCCTGCTGCAGTTGCATGTGATAGCGGTAGATATTCTCAGTGCTTTCCACCACACCTGTAACAAAAGTACTTGTATGTTTTACACACACATCCACATCAGTGACAAAATATGTCTGCTTCTGAAAGAAGTAACAATGAAAAGCTGCACTACACTAGGAGGTGTGACTGTAATATGCTTGTCCCTACACCAATTATTGGTGCATGTTAATTTTCCACTACAAGGCAACAAAGTCTTAAGGAAACGCACATCAAATAAATACATCATTTACTGTATATGGCAGCATAATCACATGTTTCTTTATCCATTTTCATCAGTTTCCATGAAAAATGAATATGAATAACCCATTCACATCCCTAAATGAATCTACACTCTCTCATGGACACCGCAAAAGTAGTTTTACACTAAATGCAAAAGTTTGCTTGAATGGTTTTCGTGTCATCAGTGAGTAGATTGAGATAAAATAGGGTTCAGTAAATTCCTGCAGGTGACATCAATGGACCAGTGAAATAATTCTTTAGTAATCCATGGACAAAGCACATCAGTAATAGTTGCAATTGTTTTACCTAAAGCAGGCTACCTAGAGTGAGACAGAAGCTGATAGGTTAATTATTATAATTAAATAATTTTTTGAAAATGGGAAAAATTCAACAGACCCGCAGTGAGATTGAGACTGCGACCCTTGATACCACTCTCCTTGCTAGGGGGAGACCACCAGTTGACAAGTGATCCAAACACTGGAACATGACGTAAGATGCCATCCTGCCATAGTCGCTCCTCATTCTCCTTCTGCAAGTCCAATGTTGCAGCCTCAATGCCTTTCTTCACAATCTCAGTCATGGTCTCAAGGAACCGTGATGATTCTTCCACCTCTTGACCCACTGTCACGACCAACCCAAGCAGTTCTTCGACATCTGTGTCGGCTGTCACCATACCAAACCTCACACATACCAGACCATCTGTGCCTTCCCCTGTAGATGTAAAATATGTAACAGAAAATACAGGTGTCTAAAGGTTTTACAATTAAAATTAGTTTCTTCAGTTAATTATGGGGCTTCAGGTTAGCAAATGTTCTTTATATACTTGATTTTGGTTAGGTATGAATAGCGTACCAATCTATTTTATGTTGGATTTGAGGTTCTCACAGCAGTGACTATGATGAGTACTATCTTTTGGGATGTAATGCTCTGTAGTCCTGTTGAAGTCCATTAACATTCTGAAGGACTGTACTACCTCCATTGTCAGGGTAAAAAAAAAAATTTACCTTCATAAATCAAAAGATACAGTGCAGTCACATTTTATACCAGGGATGCATTCCTGAAGACCTTGCACAATTCAAGACAAGTATTGCAAATTATCTGGGGATTCATATTATTTGAAACTCTGTTCAAAAAATGACACTATTGATATTTTTTTATATCGCACTATTTCAATTTTGGGGGCACTATGCTACAAGCCGGAAGGTCGCAGCATCGAGTCCTGATGAGGTCATTGGGTTTTTTCCAATTTACCTAATCCTTCCAGCTGCACTATGGCCCTGGGATCAACTCAGCCTCTAACAAAAATGAGTACAAGGAATATTCTTGGAATGTTCTTGGGGTTAAAGGGTGGCTGGCACGTAAGGCTGACATCCTTACCGCCATCTATGAGCTGATTGTCTAGAAAATGTGGGAACCTCAACATCTCACAACCCTATGGGCCTCCACAGCCTGTTACAGGGATACCTTTACTTACTTTACTATTTCAAATTCATATAAAATTTGACAGAACTGTGCCTGTATATAAACGTTACTTTATATTCTAATCTGCGTTTATTAAATTATATCAAAACAGTGCTGAAGTGTAAGTCCCCTCATTTGGTTCACACTCACCGAGAGAGAAAGCAGCATCAGTGTTGCGAAGTTGCTCTACCAACTGCATATTTAGTCTGTTCAGCTCCTCTTTTGCCTGATCTGTCATGAGCTGCTCCCATCCCTCGGGCACATATCGCACTCCACCGAGTCCTGCCCACCCTGGCATGTCCACCAGGCGCAAGCGAGGAGATGCTATCACCAAACGCTGAAATGTTTCTTTGTGCTGTACAGTAGCTGACAGAATTTCCTGCATCAGAGAGACGTGCAACTAAAGTTATTTCGTAATCAAGACACGGGTGCTTGGTCATTCTGCTTTAAGAGTAACCTTGGATACCAGAGCAATAAGGTGCTTACAAACTACACTGCCATATATATATATATTTTTCCCTAAGAGTATGCTTACATGGAAGTGACCAGGAGACAAGGAAGAAGATGTAAGAAGATGCTGGATGACCTTGGGGACAGAAGAGGATATTTTCATTTGAAGGAGAAAGCTCTAGATCGCATCAAGTGGAGGAACTGTTTTGGAAGAAACTGTGGACCTGTCATCTTAACAGATTACTGATGAATGAATGCTTACATCATTTAGTTACATAAGCTACAAATTTTACTTGAGCCAGGATCACTCATTCAGTATAGCGACAGTCAACGGGCTGGACAGCTGGTGTTCAATTCCTCACAGAGTCAAGGAAGTTTTCACTTTGCCACAACATCCAGACCAGCTCTAGGACCAATCTAGCCCCCCCATCCAAAGGGTTCTGGTGCTCCTTTCCTGGGGGTAAAGCAGCAGGGACATGAAGCTGATGGGCGTTATACTTCCATTCCCCCAATATCTTCATGGTACTTAATTAGATACACGGGCAACTTTTACAAATGTTACTAAACTTAACTTCATGCGAGTCCAGCAATGTACAAAGACATGAAGCCTCCATTTCAGACTAAGGCTATGCTGCTCATGAATTAACAAATGAATAAAGAGCACTGGTGAAATGACTAGCAGAGAACAATCGAAACTCTAGAAAACATCTCATCTTGGTGTCACCGTGTTCCACAAATGGCATGTGCAGTTCATAATGGCCTTTCAGTTTCTTCCTATTGTATTTTGCCTTTGCCAAGTAATCTGTCACTTAACCTGAACATGTAAAGATAATGATATTAATACTGTATAGCAATTATGCTCCTATGCTTTAATCTCAATATATTGATTTCTTCTGTGTGCTAAATTCTTACAACTAATGTTCTTCCCTGTTCTGTTAGTACTGCAGGTCATATGTTGTCCCTGAATATGAAGGAGTGCCAACCATTCAACCACGACATTCAGTTGCACCCTTTAATTTCAGTGGAATAACTGTAAAATGATATAAATATCTTCATTGGATACTTCAGTTGCCCAAAAAATATTAGAACTGTCAATTACAAAACTTTTGTATTCTTAAATATATCTTGAATTTTCTATTTCTGCTGGAGTGACAATTTAACACATAACGACCACCTGAAGGATAAGGTCCAGGCCTCTACAATAGTAAACAGTGTTTAGTATGTAATTCATTCTTTGATCATTTAAAGACACTTAAATGGTACAATGACTGAATACTCAATTACAAAGAAGAGAGATGGGACCTGTTTCATGGTATGCCAGTATTTTCCTGGAGAGACTGAGAAAAAACAGTCAAAATAATCAGTCTGGGCCAAAAGATGAACCAGGGGCATCCTGAATATAAAGCAAAGGTTGTGGAATTGATTCATCTGGCTCAGGATATGTGTAAGTAGCTGAACATGGTAATGAGCCTTTAGGATCCATAAAAGGTAGAACACTTCTTGAATAGCCAAGAGACCATAAATTTCTTAAGGGCTCTGCCCCATGGAATGTGTTAGTATAGTAAGCACAGCAATGAATTTATTGCATGCCTTTACATTTGGTGTGACAAAAGGTTAACATGACTGTTATAAAATGAAGTCTTGGTTTTGCCAACACAATAACAACATTGCTACATAACTTACCAGCTGCTGTTCTAGACAGACTATGAACACCTCAATGTCCTCTGTACTTGGGATCTTATCTCCACCCATTTCTAGGGGACAATAGCGGAGCACAACACCATTACTCTCAAGTTCACAAATCTCCAATGGTACTTGGGGTGAATCACGCTGCAGGATCTGTCCCAGCTACAAGGAAAAGGGAATCAAGTGTTGGTGTCCCCAAGAACATGAACATGCATCTATTCAATTCCAAATTAATTAAACAGATATTACAATAAGAGATAATGGAACCAGGATAGTGCAGTCAGTATAGCAACTGGCTGCAGGCTGGATGCCCAAGGAGTCAAGAGTTTGAGTCCCGGTAAGGAATAGATTTTTCACCTCTCCACATCGTCTAGACCGGTTCTGGGGTCCAACCAGCTCCCTATGCAGGAGCTCTTTCCCCAGAGGTAAAGTGGCCAGGACATGAAGCTGACTACTCACTTTCATCTAGTGCTGAGTTCAAGAATACACGGATTCATACATTCACTTCCCCATACACCTTCATGATGTAGTGCTTAATTAGGGAGGCATAGGACCAACTTTATCTTACCATAATATGTGAGAGTTCCGTGGCTAAAAGCCATATTCAATGAAAATTCTCCATACTTACAATGAGCCTACACAGGCCAAATTTTATTATGACATAATAAAATTTCTGAAGGTGAAGTTGGTGACTGTATTTAATCATTTTCATATTCATAAATTTTTCAATTTACCTAATCCTTCCAGCTGCATTATGGCCTTGGAGTCAACTCAGCCTCTAACAGAAATGAGTACCAGGAAGCTTCCTGGGGTAAAGAGCTACTGGCATGTAAGGCAGACAACCTCACCACCATTTGTGAGCCAATTGTCTAGAAAATGTGTGAGCCTCAACAGCTTGCCACCCTATGGGCCTCCACAGACTATTACAGGAACAGCGGGACATTTACCTTACAATACTCATCATCATCATCATCACAACCACCACTTTCTTCTTCCTCCTCCTCCTGGCAATTTTTATGTGGGTTATTTACCAACAAAACCTCTCCATCTATTTCTGTGTTTCTCAAGCTCAACCTCCTCAGCCTCTTCAGCTTCCTTCCCTCTGCCTGACATCTTTCCAAACCTGCTGCTCCAATCTCCATCTCTTGATCTTACTCTTGAGCATTTTCCTTTTTATCTCATAATGCAAACCTTTACAGTTCTTTCTTCATTCATTCTTAAGATATGCCCATTGTATTTTATTATTATTTACTAAATTATCTTCTTCTGCATTTATCTTGCCTTCTCTAATTTCTTCCATTCTTATATCATTAACCTCCTTAAGTCCATGCAATAGAAAGGGAATAACATTCAGCCATGACAGATCCAGCAAGACAATAATGGATTTTAAACTCCGCCCCCAAAAAAATTCTTAAATATTTAATCTGTAACATCATTTCCTTTGGTTATCACGTATGTCTGCCATACACAAAATTATGTATGTGTATCTCTGCTCTGCACACATGCTTCACAAGGCTGCATCAGTGTTGGTTTAAACTACAGCATATACCTGTTTCATCTTCCTGCATTCACCCATCATCAAACCCTCCATTTGGTCATGACATGCAATGGGCACTTTTCCCAACATGCAGAACTTGACTGCAGTCTTCAAATTTATCCACTTGAGCCTCATACACATTCTCAGTCCAGAGTTCATCATGTGGCAGTCATGGTGCTATATATTAATTACAATAAATACAGGGCTAGGCCATAGCTCAAGCAGACAGTCATTAATTTATATGCATAATTCTGGTAGTAACATTTACTCTATACAAAATGAAACTGTTACAATCCAACCAGCAGACCCATGTTTCTTATCAAGGAGTGTGAGGTTATTAGGCTGAGAATACAGTAAAAGAAGAGCAAAACTTAATGAAACCTGGCCCAAAAATATTTTTGACTCTCGCGTAAATCATGAAGACATAGGAACAGGTCTTAAAAACAGACAACTAGTGCTGTAAACACTGGAACATTATGTAACAATTTCCCTAACACATACCCAAGAATTCAGCTTGTCATAATATGATGGCACTCGACCACCACCATCATCACTACCCTCTGGCACAAACTGAAACACGACAGTGCATGCCACCACCTCCAGCAGCACCTATAACAAACACACTACATGAGTCATATAAAAAATACAGCTAAGGAAATATCTGATTGATTGATTTCTAGAATATGTAACTAATTTTCAGCTGTGTAAGATTTGAGGCTTTCATGGAGGTGACTATGAAGAAAGCAGTCTTCTGGGATTTGGCACCGTGTATATGTGGTGTTAACCGACGTTTCGGAGGAACGTATCGCCCCCATCTTCAGGGTAGAAGAAAAAGTATAAGAATTCTGCAAGCGACAACACCGTGGGAAGTCTGCTTTACCGTTTCCCACGGTGTTGTCGCTTGCAGAATTCTTATACTTTTTCTTCTACCCTGAAGATGGGGGCGATACGTTCCTCCGAAACGTCGGTTAACACCACATATACACGGTGCCAAATCCCAGAAGACTGCTTTCTTCATAATTTTCAGCTGCATGGGTTATACTAAATAACTAACGTTTTGCAGGTGGTACTATTTATGAATTCCAATTTCAATAAATGTCCCTCTCTTGCATGTCTCTCTGCTTTCTATTTAAGATGTCTATACAGTAAACAAATTCTTTACCTTGACTTTACATATTTAGCCTTCATGCTAGTGTCCAACCATATCTCAGTTACCTTGCTAGTAATTACAGAATAATTCTGATATAATTATCATAAAAAACATAAATCCAAGAGTTCAAATCCAAGTACCATGCTTTTCTTCCATATGCCAATCACCAAAACCAAATGTGATAAAAAAATGTTTGGTTTTACCTCAGTGTTCCAGAAAAAATAGGAAAATTTATGAATCTGCTAGACATTTAGCAGTTATAATGGAAGAATCAGACCGCCTCTGTGGTCTAGTGGTCACAGTTCCCGGCTACAGGTCTGGAGGTCCAGATTCAATTCCTGGTGCTACAAGATTATCTGAGAAGAGACAGGCCTGGAACAGGGTCCACTCAGCCTCATTAGGATAATTGAGGAGCTATTTGAAGGAAATAGCAGCTCTGGTCTAGAAAACCGAGTTTAACGGCCATGGGGATTCGTTTTGCTGACAACACGACACCCTCTATCCACAAAAGTTGGCAGTAACTTCACTGACAAGCGGTAGTCGCTCAGTCAGTATAATTTGCTTGCAGACTAAAACCACAGTTTTTTTTAATGGAAGAGTTAAGGATGATATTACAAGCATTTTTTCTAAGAAAATTTAACTGAATAATTATTTGATTTGATTTTTTAAAATGCCTCCGCAAAATAAAATCTTAAGGTATCCTATTGCATACTCATATCCTGCCTTAGAACAGCATCTTCAGCTAAACATTTAACTATTCAAAATAACATTTTGTCAAGTTTTCAACTTATGTTTGTCCCACATGCCAAAATCAAAATTCGACCCTGACTCTGTTCTTGTGACACCAAACTTCTTCTGACTGCTTAAAAATTGATTGTAACTGAATAGCATTGCCCTATACTTACAGCTGTGCTGACAGGTTTGGACACCAACTCTGCCACAGTAAAGGTTCCTGTCTCTCCCCCAGGCTGTTGACTCTGAAACAGAACACAACATGATTCTTATAAACTGTATACTGCAGTCAATTTAACTCTGTGTGAACAAACTACCTTTCTTAATCATTCTGTTTTCTACCAGCTGAAACAAAGAACAAGAGAAAATGAATGTTCTAATTGAAATGATATCCAAATATAATATTTATTCGTAGAAAATGCTTGTATTCTACTATAGCAATTGAAGTTAGTGCCATGAAAACAATGACAGCAAAAGTCATATTAATATACATCTTCTTACTTTCACATAAAATTTACTCATCTGAAACTCTGCATCTTGAATGGAACTTCCTGGAGCAGACAAGATCCACGGCTGTTTAACACAATTGCTGAAATGTTACTACTAACATTACTGCAACAATCAGTGGCTTCTCGTGCACCAACAGTTAACTTTTACATCCATTTTACACTCACCAGTAACCTCAGACATGTATACTTAGATATCTTTTTCCATATTAGTTCACTAGATTCGAATGCTTCACGGATTTTGGTCTGTATGCCATCTCTGCCCAGTGACTATAAAAAAGAAATTGCCTTGTTAATATCTATTAAGCTTGGGAAATTTTGAAGGACTTAGATGCAAATATATTTTGGTTGGCATTTATGTCTTACTTGAAGAGCAGCCCATAGCGACAGACAGCTGAGACGACGTGCGAAGTGGTCAGCTGTGAGCCCAGCTACCAGAGGCAGTGTGCTCTCTCTGGGCACGCCGACTGTGGACATGGGTCGTGCTTGCCTTGTAGAACTACTGTCAAACAATCGATACAGTGTCTGCATATTTATTGTCAAGGAATATTCTTGTTTTACATTATTCATCATCCACCAAAGGATCAAGCTTTCTGATTCAATTTGAATACAAGGTGTTTCACGACTTTAGGACATAACTGCAGGAGGTGATTTCCTAGGTCTTTGTGATCAAAAAAGTTCATATAAACATGTGTCCGATTTTGGACGGTTACGGAGTTATGACTGTTTTAAACTCAGAATAGAAGGTAACGATTACAGACAATAAATGGAACAAAATAATAAACCAGCATAATACATGATACATTTAAAGTATGAATGTAAAGTTAACTTCGTGAAATTACCTTTCATTTGAATTTATTGGTGCTTAAAGCTGATTTTTGAAAATGCCACTGCCGGCTGCAACACAGGCTGCCATTCGGTTGTGAACCGCGCTTGACATACCAACCCACCACACCTTAGGTACCTCTCAAATGTCAAGATAACGAGAATGCTCTGTCTGTAGCTAGCTAAAAATAGGGACCTGCCAGGTGATAGACGCGGTTCACAGGAGGGCGTGTACGGGAATGAAAAAACAGTCATAACTCCGTAACCATCCAAAATCGGACACATGTTTATATGAACTTTTTTGATCACAGAGACCTAGGAAATCACCTCCTGCAGTTATGCCCTTAAGTCGTGAAACACTCTGTATACTTAATGTACCATGCTGAACCAAATATAAGACAATCCCTTTCTCAGAGCTTAAATTCATGGAAATACAAATGTATAATGCTGATTCATATGTCAGATGAGCAGTGTTTTGCACTGCTGGTCACAAATATTCATCCTGGTGAAGTATCTTGCTTTGTTTCAGACTAGCTAAAATGCACACCCAGATGTTTCCTCAACTAAATTGTACTGAAAAAATGAAGTCACTTATTTCTTAAACCACACATCTTTAACACGCTCTTCTTTGTAACTACATGTGCTACTGTTCATTAACCCTTCCAATACTGGTTTGTTCGTAAGTGCATTTCCACTGTCAGATCAGGTATTTTACAGCATTTAACAACAACATTACGTCCCAAAATTTTATCAATATAATAAAGATTTTTTATTTTTTCTGTTTAAAAATGAGGAAATGTAAAATAAGTTTACCTTACATATACTGACCCTAATAATCTCACAGTATGCGGTATTCTTTTAAACATGAAAGAGAACACAGAACCGGCATGAAGCAGAAATATGACCTACACATTGTATCATGCATTTACAAATCCAGGCAACATCTGTTCAAATATTTTTAAAACATTTAATGCTAAATTTAGCCAACAGACGAAAGAGCCTATTAACATTTTCATAAAGTGATACTTTCAAAATTGCCTAATAAAGAGCTATTTATTATGACATGGGTGCCAATGTATACTCTACGTCAGACACAAGTATCTGCACCACTGGCTTAAAAGGATTACTCTTCTACAAACAACAAACAAAACAAACTCAGTTTCAGTCCGCAAGCGAACCATACCGACCGAACGACCGCCGCTTGTCAACGAAGTTTAGTGCCAACTTTTGTGGATAGAGGGTGTCGCATGGTCAGCGCAACGAATCCCCATGGCTGTTAATTTTGGTTTTCTAAACCGGAGCTGCTATTTCCTTGAAAAACATCTAAAACCTCAAAAACAACTAGACACTTCAACTTTTAAACTAACACAAATGTCAGTACTGTGCAAGAACCAAATAATATCTTTACTCTTAGCTATCATTAAATTCAGATTATAGAAATGTTCTATTATTACCATCATGATGAACGGTGGGAAGTATTACAAATACTAAATGTGGCTGCCTAGTGATGAAACAGCCATGGACATACATTGCTTTATATATACATATTATATGGTCTCCAAGTTACTACCAGAACAAGGTAAAGTTGTCCCTGTGCTTAACTAATTAAGCACTACGCCATGAAGGTATATGGGGGAGTGGATGGATAGATCCACATTTTCTTAACCTTAACCTGACGCCCCAGCCACTTTACCCCCAGGAAAAGAGCCTGCTGGTACCTGTTGGATAGGAGGCTGGGTGGACCTCAGAGCCAGTGTGGACAATGTGGAGAACAGAAAATTCTTGGCCCTACTGGGAATCAAATTCCAACCCCTCAGTCATCCAGCCCATAGCCAGTCGCTGTACTGACTATGCAATCCTGGATCCTCACATTCAACAAGGTGGCAGACAAAATTACCTCTCATTTTTCAGATGTAACATTAGGGAAGGGACTGCTTTAAATTCACATAAATATGATACATGTTTCAGACAAAAGAGACTGTATATGGTTTTGTGTTTTTCTTTTAGAGGAATTTCTTACTTTTCTGGTGTGAATATTAAAGGATACAACTACAGGCAGAGCAGGAATACCAAGCCAAATGCCAAGAGGTAGTGTGAAGCTATCAGCAATTCTGGTTGGCTGAAAATAACAACAATTAAATGTGAGTTTACAACAAACCCAGTAAAAAGCAAACAAATGACAGCATGCTACTCACCACATTCTGAATCGACACCATGGCAAGAGCTGCAATACTATGGCCACGAAGATGCAGCCATACATCATGCTGTTTGCATAACTCCTGCAGTCTCAACACATTGTCGACATGGCCTGCTATTGTGGTACCTTGAATTGAACAATAAACTCTCCATTAATAGAGACTGCTCATGTCGAGACTAAAATATTAGGATAATTTGTTCACTGAACATGCAGAACAGATACCATCTCTTCTTATAAGTAAAAAAGTAAAGTAAAGGTATCCTTGTAACAAGCCATGGAGGCCCATAGGGTTGTGAGACGTTGAGGATCCCACATTATCTAGACAATCGGCTCATAGATGGCAGTAAGGCTGTCAGCCTTACACGCCAGCTGCCCTTTACCCCCAAGAATATTCCTGGTACTCATTTCTGTTAGAGGCTGAGTCGAGCCTAGGGCCATAGTGCAGCTGGAATGATTAGGTAAATTGAAAAGAATTCAATGACATCATCAGGATTCGATCCCACGACCTTCCAACTTGTAACATTGTGCCTCGACCAACTATGCTACCACGTGCCGCCATCTCTTCTTATAAACGCTGAAAAATTAAATGATCCAGAAACAATTGCAAATGCCTTAAATACTTATGATTACTGAAAAGTTAAAGTTTCATCAATTTTGAAGAGATATTAGAGAGTGATTCCATAAACCATTCTCTATAATACGAGTACATACATACACAAGCATAGATGAACTTGGCTTTTATCTTTCCGTGCGCTGTGTCTAACACAGAAGAAGAAGGTGACAAAAGTACTGACACAGAGTCTGCTATCATAATGTTTTACTCACCAGCATCTGCAAGGACAATGAGAGGTATCCTGTTGCTAGCTTCATCCTCTTCAATTAGTCGCTCCAAAGCTGCCACATCTATTTTTTGCTGGGAGCCAAATAGTGTATTACATGGCACAGGACGAACACAATACATTGGGAGTCCCAGCTGAAGAGCAGAAAATAAAGTTGGTATAATAATTTCAAATTATATTTCCATTTAATTATGAAGATAGTCATCAAAGTGATACAGAGAATTGCAGCATGACACCGAACCGCCTACGAGTTCCGGAAATTGTGTCAGCTGATGCTGGCTTTGCACGTACAGTCAGACACTCACTTAGTGGTGATACAAGCTTACGAAGTTATCATCCATGTAATGAGAGTACCATGGCTGAAACTTATCATTAATGAACTTATCAACCATCCAACAACTAAAACAAACTAGTAGTGCATGCAGTAATAGTATTGTGACGTGGACAGCGCAACAGGAAGTAGGGGTCACGCGAACTCTGCGTTTTTGCAAGTGACGTCACATACTCCCACTCTCTTCTGTCTGGCTTCACAATCCACTCTCTCTTACACGCCGCTCAGCTGGCCTCTTCTACTGTTCCGTTGC